TTTATTTTATCCAATGACAGCACTGTCCACTGACAGTCTGACAGTGACAGGGCAGGGCCGCTTGGCTCTTGGCGGCTGGTGCCTTGTGGCTGAACTCTCTTCAAATCGGAAATCAGCCAACTGAGCCGAGTCCTGGTACTTAGCATTTTGCAAGGACCAAACCAAGGAATATATCTAACCTTTGACTTTTAGCTGTGATTAAATTGCCCCCATCATTTTATAAAGCTGCAAAATTCCTGCTAGAATCTAGATGAATTACTAGCCTAGCCTGCCTAGGGGCTAGGTCCTACGGTAGCTATGACTCTTGTCTCTTATTTAATTGTTAATAAAATTGTACAATTGAGCATAGGCCTAAAAGTCTAAATGTTAAATGTATAAAGTACAAACTACCAAAAATTGGACACTTTTCTGCTGTGATAATTTATTTAGGACTATTGAGTGGGACAATTCTAATCTAGCCTGGGAGTCTGCTACTGGCAGTCTGCCACTCTGCATGTCTGGGAGACTTGGACCTGCATGGCAGCTAGGCCTAGCTGCACCTGCTTGATGTGCTCACCAAAACTACTGTAGGCTTGTTAGTTGTTACTTGTAGATTGTAGTGGCCATTTCTGTGGCAAACAAGCAGCTTGTTACAAGCCAAACATGTAATTTTTTAGAACCCAATTCAGTTTTAATTGTATGATCTATTTAAAATTTTATTCAGTACCTATCTATGTGTTTATGTCTTATGATAATCATAGGGTAAACGCGGTATAATCCGACACATTAAGGACGCATCAAGAAATGAAAAACTATAAAAAAAAACGTATGTGTTACTTGAGTTCTGTTGCCTTCACATGACTCTCAAAACACTTCACTACGCATCAGCAACGATGAAACGTCACAAAATGTTGCCATATTTATTAAAAAGCCTTTAGAATGGAAACCTACCAAATCCCTATATTCCGTCACTTTGTGTGGCAATATTCGACACGTGGTGAGTCGTATTGCGTCAGCGCTTTAAATTTAACTGATGCGTATTGCCGACATCCACGTGTTCGAATTCCGTTTGCTGTGTGAGCTGTATTGGGATACAACATTGCTTTGAATTAGAACACTAACGAATATTGAACACTACGTAATTACATTTTAATTAACTGCTATTAGGCTTTTAATTAAGCAAATTTCAATTTTTGTACAAAGCTTTGAACGATCTGTGTGTGTCCAATTCAAGTTGTGTCGGAATTAGTTTTCATGTGTCTAAATCCAACATCTCAACTTATCATCTATTAATTTATTTACGACTTGAAATCAGCAAATACAAATATACTTAAAGGATTCCTTATATATTCACAGACGTATTTAAAAGTCTCAAACCATAATATTCTTCCTATAAAAAGAGTTATTCACTATTTGGTAGAGCCATGTCAACTGTCAAATTTGACACATTTTTCGATGATCTCGCCACGTGGCATGCATTGTCTCTCTTTGGATCTCAATATTTTCCCACTAGATGGCCAAGACCTAGTGTTTTGGCAGTATTTTGACTCGCAAATGCATGACATCACCATTTCAACCATCAACAAATGCATGGAACTAAAACAAAGCTTAATATAATGGAAAAGCTGGAGAGGTGACGGAATTACCTACGATGTCGGAATATACCGCGTTTACCCTAGTAATTAATACTTAGTAGTATCTCTGAGTCTCTGACACTTCACAGCCTCACAGGTATATAACTAACTCAGTAACTGCCTAACACTAACAGTTACATTATAAGCAATTGAGCATTAAGCTATAGCTAACAGTAACAGCTAAGCTAAATCCATACAATGGTTTCTTTGTGCTATATCAGGACATTCATTTCTAATCTTTGATTTAAATATGAATTTCTCCAGAAAAGTAAGCTCTGCTGTAGCCTGTATTAAAGTAAAATTAATGAATAGGATGAAGTTGAAACCCACACCATATTCCAACACCTTAAGGACATAGTGAGAAATAAATGGCTATAAATAGATCACCGTATGCGCAACTTGAGTTCTGATTGGTTTACGTCACTCAAAACACCACACTATGCGGCAGCAATGATGAAACGTCGCAAACTGTTGCCATATTTATTTAAAAGCCTTTATTAGAATTAAAATCTACAAAATCGCTGAATTCCAACACTGTGTGTCGGAATTGCGGCATATTGTGAGACTAGTTCCAACTGCACTTCAAAATCATAATTCGTAATTCCGCCACCCTGTGTGAGCTGTGTCGGAATATGACAGTAAATGACACCCTGTGTGTCGTAATTCTGACACCCTGTGTTAGAATTAGTTTTTATGTGTCTAAAACCATCTCTTAAATCAATCATCTATTAAATTATTTACCACTTAGAATCAGCAAATACAAGTATACTTAAAGGATTCCTAATATATTCACAGACTTATTTAAAAGCCTCAAACCATAATATTCTTTCTACACAAATGGTTTATCACTATTTAGTAAAGCAAGGTCAACTATCAACTTTCATACGTGTTTCGATGTTCTCACTAGTTGACTTGGACTTTTGCTCTGCAGATCTTAACATTTTCCCGCTAGACCTAGTGTTTTGCGGAAATCTGGCACGTAATAGTATGACATCACTATTTCAATCATCTACGCATGCTTGGAACTAAGACCAAGCTTAATATAAAGGAAAAAGTTGGGGGGAGAGAAAGGCAATACCCAAGTTTGAAACTTTGAGATTTTTGGTATAAAGTTAGAATTTTAAAATTTTGCTAGCTGGCCATATTGCAAAATCAGGCAGAGAACATGCAACTGTGACAGAACTGTGCATATCCTAGTCAATTTCATCTTGGTGTGTTGCTCATGCCCAATTTTTTCATTAGAATCAAATAAAATGACACTTTTTTGCATGCCATTTTTAAAACTCCTGCCTGATTTCAGGATTGGCTGAATGGCATGTCTCCTATAGATGCCCAGTTCAAAGACTGGTTATAGATGGGGAGTAAAGACCATGAATTTTTAGTTGAGATTCAGTGAAATTCCTAATTTTAACATCTAGCTATCTTGAATGAAATGCTGCTGCATTGATGGCTTCAAATTATAGAATTTCTAAACATTCCCTCCTAGAGTTGGCTCTTGTCCTGATGTCATTAGACTGATTATTTTAATCAATGTCAAACTGACTACCTACTACTATTTTGGGCTAATTTTACTGAAAACTACTGGTTTAACCCATTAATGACGAGAATTATTTTCTGAATTTTTGTTCAGTTCCTTGTGAGAATATTATCATTTGTGATGGTAATAAGCAAAAAATATGTTCATATATTTATTTTTTGTTGTATGTGAAAAATTATAGCTTGGTTCCATATGGAACCGCTCGGCATTAACATAACGTTTCTTCAAACAACACTTTTTCCAATAGTAAATAAAGCAAGGTTGTTCATAATGGATAATACGTAATATACGTATTCATAATGGACAATACTGAGGATGAACCAATCATGGCAGAATACAATTTAATTTTTAGCATAGAATGCTTCCATTCATTCAAAATGAACAGGAAGGTTGACCATTTTACGTATGTTTGTGGGTGCGTTGTCAACATTGTTTACGAAGCACTGCATTTGCAGTGCTTCTGACGTCTCGTTACTGGCCGATGTTGTTGATTGTTGTATTGCACTTCATCAAGGATCAAAGTAGAAGGGTGCACTATAGACCCTGATTGTTTTATTTAGGGTCTCCTGCATTATTGCGTTTCCCAACCGATATTTTTCAGAATTTATTGCAATAGCCATTCTTTTTTTCAAAAGTTTTTTGAGAAGCTAAATGAAACCAGAATAGATATCACATATAATATGTTGGCTTGGGACCAATTGTATCATGTTTATGGGACCAATCCATGTTCCAGCCCATGAATAAGTTTCTTTTTCTATTACATCTGCCGATTGGCTTCAATATCAGAAAACTATCATCTGATTTATCTGCTGCCCAAAGTTTATAACTAAATCTCACGGGCTAGCCACGTATATGTCGTAGTATAATGTGGCCATGTCGACCACAGATGACTTTCTTCTCTGTCTATAGTCATTGTTTTCACATTTGGCGATTACTGTTGCTGCAATGACTATTCTCGACAGGCGAGCATAATTGCTAGTGGCTGCGTCATCTGAGTTATCTGAATCTCAGTATGTTTCGTTTGTTGCTGCTTCTGTGAAAGGTTCAGTTGCAAATATTTGATCTTCATGTTATTCTTCTCTTGAAATCTCAATTATTTCATGTGATGATCTGCCAAAATACAACTAGAAAAAAGTGACTCGGATGAAAAATCATATAGTGTTCTACGTACCTACTTCCAAATATATCAACTTTTGGGATATATATACTCCTAACAGCTCTAAAGATAATAGTTCCCTAATAAATAACAGAAAAACAGTAGATCTAAGATCTAAATAAATAATTTCTAAATACAAACAAGTTTTTGAAATACAATGCGTAACTATATCACAAAGTAATCTACTGGGAAAATGATATGACTGGAATGCTTACACTACTGCCGAGTGGTTCCATTTGGAACCAGACAAAATATTTCATGATCCAAATGACTTTAGAAATATTATATCACGTAATACCATATACAGAATTAAAAGTACTCTCTTTATCGATAAAATTCTGCATCTAACTTATAAATAATATATTCTTAGAACAAACTACTTGCCTTTCTCTGCAATGATGTCAAGCCCTTCTGTCTGACACCCGGTACTTACAATCTTTAAATGTTAACTGAGCAGGGAGTAGTCGGCGCAGCTGAACCAAACGTTGCCAGAACACGTCCAAGATGTGTATCAAACCTACACATCCACTAGTATATTGATTTGACCATACAATTTTATTATGAATCCATTTTTTCTCTGGTTCCAAATGGAACCGCTCGGCATTAATGGGCTAAACATTCTCATGTGAATTCTTATTTTAAAAATTTCACTTTCAATAAATTTCAAATCCATGTATGATTGATGATATGCTATTTCATTATGTACTAAATAATGTATCCTTCCCTGCAGATGTATAAGTGTTCAGTTAAAGAGTTCCAAAATGTTTACTCTATTTTATGGATTGTACAAGTATTTATTCAAGAAGGATGAGTTCTATGTTCTTATTCTTGGCCTGGATAATGCAGGAAAGACTGTGAGTTTAGGCAATTATTTTGAACTATTTTAAAATGACATGGTAACTCCAGCCTCATGCTGAAGCCTTAGATAAAATCCATTTCGGCCTCAAGCTAAAATCCAATTAACTCAAAGGATTATATTTTCATTATAAAACCAAATTTACAGAAAGTTTGGATATAGGTACATCTTTCTTGTTGATAGAAAAAATAGAAGATATTGTCAATATTTCATCTAGAGGTTCACAGCGGCCATCATTTTTTCATGTATTCTTCCATCAGTTCTTTTCATAAGGGTACATGAGCTAGTTGTGATATTGATTTTGTATTGAGAAATCTGTCAATGTGAAGAAAATTTTTATTATTTGTTGAAATGACTTTATTCTTGAAATTGTAGAAACCATTTTCACCTTTTTGCTCAAAGGTAAATATTTCATTTCAGACATACCTGGAAGCAGCCAAAACTCAGCTAGTGCGTGGTTACAAAGGTCTTCCAGCCAACAAGATAACCAGCACAGTTGGCCAGAATGTTGGAGCCATTACATATGGTGGTGTCAAACTTAATTTCTGGGACTTGGGAGGACAAGAAGAACTACAATCTCTCTGGGAGAAGGTGTGTAATGACGTAGTGCAGTTTTCTTTGAGATCTAAGTCTGAACTAGTGCACGATTTGTGCATATATATTTTCATTTCATTTATATTGATGATTGTCCTACAGAGTACCTACCAGGGTTGGCAATTTTTAAATCAAAATGATTAAATCATGTGATTAAATCACTTGTTTTTTTATAAAAAAATCATGATTTTTTTTATTTCAATTTTTTTTATTTTTTGATTTTTTCATATAGGTATTTCAATATATTGAGTGGCAGTCTTTAATTTATATTGAGGTATTGTTATTTGTGGTTTAGTATAAATGTACTATGAATGACAAATTGGTATATAAACTTGTTGCTTTTAGTGTGTATTAGGTTCCAATAAATTGAATGTTTTTGGTACGGAGGCATCATGTGCAATACATTGTACGTAGCTAGCAGCATAGCTAAATCTTATAAGGCTATAAGTAGTCTTTAACTAGTTGACTATTTGTTATATATTGATTACAATATACAATTTAAATGTGTTACCTAGCTTATACAGGGTGGGGCAGAACTGATTGAACAGTTTTGAGGCGAAATAAAAGAGTAATGCAAGTACATAAAGAAGATAGTTTATTTTCCTCAAGATTAGCATAACATACCATTTAAAATGCTTAGGTATGTTTTGAAAACAATATCAGGAAGATGGTGTTTGTTAGCTGCATCACACTGTTGGAGTCATTCTCGGAAGTTTTTCTACTGCACGTTCACACATATGGCGAGGTATGGCCATAACCTCTGCTGCAATAATCCGTTCCTTAGCTGTGGTAGGGTGTGAGGGCAACTTCTGAACACCCTTTTTTTTAGATGTCCCCAAAGAAAGAAATCGCAAATGCTCAAATCAGGTGACCTTGCAGGCCACTGTAAATCACCCCTCAGAGTCTGGGAACATGCGTTTCAAAACATTGAGTGACATTCGGGCTGTGTGAGCTGTAGCCCCTTCCTGCTGGAACCACACATCTCCCAATGCTTCATTTTCAACAATGTTTCGGTCTTGCCAAGTCATCATGGGCTGCAAAAAATTTTGCAACATTGCAGCATAGCGATCGGAATTCACTGTTACGGTTACTCCCTCATCTGAGAACGACTCCAACAGTGTGTTGCAGCTAACGGCCCCCATCTTCCAGATATTGTTTTCAAAACATAAGTATTCTAAATGGTATCTATGTTATGCTGACCTCTACAAAAATGAAGTTTCTTCTTTATGTACCTCCATTACTCTCTCATTTTACCTCAAAACTGCTCAATTGGTTCTGCCCCACCCTGTATATTGAGAATTTGAGATTGTATTGACCTTTTAGGCAATTAGAAAGATTTTCCACCCTAATATGAGTATTCTAATTGAAATATTTAAATTCAATCTTTAAATATGTGAATTTAAAATTAGAAAAAAAAACAATTATAAGACTATATATAAAATGATTAAATGCAGTGAATGGATATAAAATATTTGAATTGTGCACATGTTTATTTCAAACAGTGTTAGATTTTCTCATAACTTGAGCCTCATTTCAAGACATATGAGGTTTGTTTGGTTATCATTCAGTTTATGTTTAGTACTGGTTTATTATTCTGAATTAAATGGGAACAGTGCCGTCAGTCAATCAGTCACTACTAGTTGGTGTGTATAGAGGGTAGAATCTGGTAGATTTGTAGGACATAAAACTAGTAGACCTATTGATAGTGCTGTGCACTGTGCTATCAGCTACCTATGTGACTCTTCAATGTTTAGAAGATCTGCATTCCTGAAGTGTTTTTGTATATTGAAGCCAGTTAAATGGTCAATATTTAGCCCATTACCTTGCTCCATACAAACTTTACAAAGCTAATGAATAGACTTATCAATAATTGTTTACCCAAAAATCCCTAAGTGGTAAACACCACCTTGGCCTGTTGGCCATTATTGGAGGCAATAAGTGCCCATTTTAGCCATCCATTATGATCCATATACTGTTATTGTTAGTAGGCTAATTGCAACATAAAAAATAACACTTCAGAAAGACAAAAAAACTGAAAAAATCAAAAAAATCGTGAAAAAATAAAAAAAATCGTTGATTTTTTATTTTTTGGATTTTTTTAAAAAAATCAAAAAAATCGCCACCCTGTTAATGAGTTATACATTTTATCTCTCTAGCTCACCAAAATTATTAAATTGTGAAAACTACATAAGTATTTTAAACAACAGCTTATATTGATGACATGAAATGTCCTATATGTATTCTATTGCAAATATGGACATTATTAAAACTTATATCATGTGCAGCACTCAGACAAAAATTATGCTTGCAGTACTATGCTGAGTGCCATGCTGTCATATATGTTGTGGATTCTGCTGATAGAGAAAGAATGGATGAATCCAAGGAAGTTTTTGGTGAGTTTCATACTATTTTCTGGTTTTAATCATGAGTGAGCTTTTTCACGCACCTTTTGACATTTAAACTGGAAAAATGTGTGTGAATATATAAGTATATATAATTGGAACTTGCTCCTTTGAATCCTGTGTCCAGTTGTTATCAGGAACTAAAATGATTTCATTTCGCCAGTGAGGCCAGCTTCTGCAGGTTTTCTTTGATTTTTTTTTCTTAAGATTCTAGAGTTGCAGATCCTCTCGTGACGTGTGATGGCAAGAATTGCATCACATGTCGCTATTTATTTTCACAATTTATTTTCCAAGTGCAGAACTCCTACGGTTATTAGTATTTTTTCTTGCTATAGAGTATTTTTCAGTGGTATTTTTTCCATTTATTATCTAAATATTGTCACAGCAGCAGGGGTATGTGAAATATTTTGAACTTGAGCTGTCAAATACTCTCATTTATTATCTTCAACACTTGTACTACTAATTAAAAATTCATGCTTTCCTTAATTTTAATTAGGATGATGCTATAATGAACTAGTGGTAAAAATTACCTTTTTTTAGATCGTATGATTTGTTCAAGTAACTTGGAAGGCGTGCCGCTGCTGGTGCTAGCAAACAAACAAGACATTCCAGAATGCATGGGCGTCCGTGAGGTGCGTCCTGTCTTCAACCAGTCTGCGGAGCTGATAGGTCGGAGAGACTGCATGGTAATGCCGGTGTCTGCGCTAACTGGGTCAGTGTGTTGATTTTTTCAAACCATAATTTTTATGTATAGCATAAAATGCCGTATGTGTAACATTAACGTGTAAAAGACTGATTTCACTCATCAAAAGGTTGAACATTGTGTTCCAATTGTTGCATTTGTGTAATAAGTTCTGATCCGAGTCCTCGAATCAAACTCTTGGTGTAGAGGCATTTTTTTCATTGTTCCAAGTACATCATAATAGATTCTGCATAGTATTATCTGATGCTCGTTGAAATACATTACATTTTTATTTGCTACTATTAATTGAATAATTCGAAATGTTATCTACAGAGCTGGTGTGGATGAAGGAATATCATGGCTCATTGACAGCATAAAAAGAAATAGTGAAATTCGGCCACCACATGGCACGGACGATACTTAGCTGCTTCAAAGGAATAGAAAATTTTCCTCATACTTTTGGGTCCGGGCACCGCAGCATAGCAGCTAAATCACGTGAAAGCAAAAGGTTTCATCTCTGCTTGTGCATCAAAGTTTATATCTTATGACTCATGAGATAGTTTCGATATGTGAAGTATATTTTATCGAAATAATCATTATTTATACCTCAAGCTAGCTTCCAAATATTCCTGGAAAGAATCTTCTTCGAATTGGAACAGGGAAATAAAATTCCTATTTTAAATTGAATCAAAGGAATCGTTAACTAAAATCCGTTTGTATTTCTTAACATACTCTTTTTAAAAGATGTGAAGAACTTTCCCTCACGATCAAGACGCAAATGCGCTCTTCAGTAGCGATGCACCGGTGATTAATGGCCTGAGCCCCAGATTAATAACGGATGAAAAACTCTTTTGTTGCATATTGAATCTTCGCTCTGTTATTCCTTCCAATCGACGTCGTTAAATTTAATTAGTCCAATATTTCAAATCAATTTTTTTTTGTGATTAGAGGAGCTATTAGCCTGGCTACTAGGCCATGCTCATCTGTAAAACATTTTAACCTTCAGAATTTGCGATCTATGTGATGCCGTTATCATGTATCATTATGATTTGGTAGTCATTTATAGTAAGTCAATCGCGAAGATTGTGTAGTAATTTTGTTATTCTAGGTACTCCAAGTTCTCGAAGTTACATATTAGTTGCTCTTGTTGAAGCCATTTATCTCTGAAAATAATGAAGTACCAGTAATGCTGCTCATGAAATTTATTTATATTGAATAGTTGAAGCTGCTTTGTGTTCAATTGTTGCTTCCTTTCTGTTGTGTGTGTTTTGATAAGTTTTCTATCTGATAGTGAGACAAAGTACAAAGTTTTGTCTGGAATGAAACCCGTGTCAAACATGGAATATTAATGAAATTTTGCGAAAATTTTCCCGCGAATTAAATGTCTTCCTTTTCTTTCGGGTGATAGCAAACTTGTAATCATTTACATTTGCTAGGTTGTTCTCACATTGACGGAGAAATTCATTATTTGCTACATCAAATTTTATATTTTTATGCCTTGTTTATTTTCTGGTGAAATCTGCTCAGCATAGATATTCAAATATTCATTTACACACAGCTAATCACACGAATTGATTACAGCTCCACAGAATTTCCACCAAGAGATCTTGTGAAATTTTTCATAGGTATTGTTTGCCTTTAGCTGTTCGGTTGTGGATTGATACATTCATGTCTGTTGAACGACCAGTAGTATTTTCAGCATTACTTAAGTATTGAACTTGTTATATAGACGTCATTTATCATGTGATCTTGGTGGTTCAACACGAAAAAGTAATTGCATTCAATGTATAATTTATAAAATCTCTATTTTCAACTTTATTTTGATAAATTTGCCATGTTCTACTGTGTATTATAGGTGTTGCATAGTTTTGTACCACAATAAATGTAATTTTATATATGTTCTGTGTAACATTTGTATCCTAATATGCTAGATATGTTGGTCTGGCTCTTGGGTATCTAATTTTTCAGCTCGCTAATCAAATCTAAATCACCTAAGCTCTGAAAGTTTTCCTTGCAGTAGACCTGTTCAAATTTGAATTGAATTCACTTGCACTAGATCTTCATGCTCACGAGAGCATTAAATAAGTTCAAGTAAGAGAAATTCATCAATATTGTTCTAATGATAGCTTATTAGGCCACTTATTCCTTGAGTGCCCCTCCCCCGAATTGCCACGTAACTAATGTTAGTGTCTTGCTCTATTTTTAGATTTTTCAGGGCTAGCTCACCATTATTTAACTGCTACAATTATTGCCCTTGTTACTTAATGTTGTTTCTTGAGCTTCGCAAGAGGTGGGTGACGTGTAAAGCCAAGGAGGGTGGCCAGGAGGGCAGCCTCCTCCATTGGACTGTCCGCCAGTAAAGAGACGCCTAGGATCTTGGGAAAAGAGGGACAGGCAAAAAAAAGCTGGATGCACTGGAGGGGATTTCCGTACAGAAGGATGGTGGCATTAAGTGGCTGGGCCAGGGCCTAGCTTAAAAGGCGTAGGGAAAGATGCCTCTCCAAAAGCGTTCGGGGAAATGAGAGCAGCCATGACCCTATCGATCTTCGCGGTTCAGTAACTTGGGTGGAGATCTTTCTGCAAGGAGTGCTCTTCGCCCACCGCATGAGCCGGCGGACATCGTTCGTTGGTAGGGCTGCAACAAGGTAGTAGGCCTGCAACAACACATCTTGACCTGTAGTTGGCCTTCAAAGGTCTGTCTCCGAGGAACGCTGTGACGAAAGGTAGGATTGGAACGTTGGAGGGCGCCTTGCATAATCGCGCTGCGATTATGAAAGATCTATATGTTCGGACAAGGGAAGGACGCATGTCTCAGTATTGAAGCATCCGGTTGTTGACATCTGGGTCGAGCTCTGAATTATTTATGGGTTTGCAATGACGGAGCGAGGGGCGATGAGGGACAGTCCTGCGTACTTGAAGATTATACGAGTGATAGCCTGTTTCTTTCGATGGTCCTTTCTAGAGAAACCCAGTTGGACCTAGTGTAGTTTAGTGGGTGTTCCGTATAACTTACAAGTTTTTCTCCCTATGGGTATGATAGCGTTAAAGATTAGGGTGGAACAATACATGCGTCATTGATGGGTGTCATGGGTAAAAAGCCAAACACAGGACTTTTCATTTTTTTACTCGCATACTGGTTTGACAGTAAAAGGAGGAGGTTTGGTTCTGCGATTGCTATTCCAGGGAGGACACGAAGACGGTGAGATCATCAGCGTATAAAGCAATGTCGGGTACTGGGACTGGGATGTCGGAGATGAAGTAGTTGAAAAGTGGAGGGGGAAATAACCCATCGCTGGGGAAATTCTGAAAGAGCTTTCAGAATTTTCCTTCGTAGTCCATTAATCTCTCAGTTATCATGTTGCTGGCCAATTAAAATTTTCTTTAAAGCGAAAATACCGAAAATTCACTTGATGACTCCAATTTTGACTTGGTTTTGCTCATTGTCTACTACGCCGGCGAGCTAGGCTTGGATTTGGGGCGTGGTGACTCTGAGAAAAAGAATTTCAGGGTCAGGCCTTTGCAACGGCCATCAGCCACGCATCGCATTTTCATTTGTTAGTAAGAAGAAGAAGAAAGGGCGACCAACCCAGGTGGAAGCAACATTATAATAGCGGTTTCAGCGTTTATTAGGCCGTAGGCCTGTCGCCGATTCTTAACATCGCAGAACATTCACAGCTTTTTGCGGTCTCGAACTCGCAACGCACTGCAACAATTCTGCTGTGCTTAACCGCCCGGCCTCCTCGCCGATTCTGACCAGAAACTGGCGCACAGAGCTGGGATCGAACCCGCGCCTCTCTGCTCCAATCCTGATACTCTGAACTTTAACCACTGGGCCACCCTGCCCATTAAAGAGAAGAGGCTAGAAGAGGTGTGAAAGTTTTTGTTAAGGGTGAGATGTAATCAAGGGGAAGAGAGGTTCAAGGGGAAATTCATTGGTTTATTATTGCTATTGTCAATTATTGCACTGTGTATTTGATAATTATATTAGCTATAGGGCCTCTTAGGCCCTGAGTGACTATTTGCGATATTATTATGGTTTGGTTATTTTAATTTTATTATTATTATTGCTTTTTTCTTACACCCTCCCAGCCTCCACTCTGGCCAACCTCCTCCTCTCCCTCACCCTCCAAGCACTCTCCAAAAATCGCTTTCCACTCTCAATCATAGCAGCAGTTACCCCCGTTGACATTCCCACAATCATTGCAATCCATTCATCTCCTGTTCGCTCATACATCACACCATCACCCTCATTCCTCTCATCCAGTATCACTCTCATCATTTCCAGTCTCTCCCGCTCATATGCATCACACTCCATCATCAGATGTTTCACAGTTTCCCTCTCACCTCTGTCACACATAAAGCAAATATCTTCTCTTCTATCATTCCACCTGTATGTCCGTGCATTCACACTAAACGCATTTGCTCTCACACAGAACATTAAGTCTCCACCTCTACTTCCATCAAATATACCTTGGCATTTCTTTCATCATGTACAATCTCAGGCTGTCCTTTCTTTCCATTCCTTGCTTCCATACTCTTAGACCACACAATTTCACTATCTTTTCTATTACTTTCTTCTATTCTTTGACATCCCATTCAATACCTGTTGCACCATGTACTGTTATTATCCATTCCTCTCTTGGTCTATTATTCCCAGGGCGATGTTCTCTTTTCGATCTATATAAAAGTTCAAAATTAAATTTTCAATTCGGAAATCCGTAGGTTCCACTAAAGAATTTATACATTTACATGTACCATCACGGTCAAACTAAATTAGAAAATTCATTCGTCGTTTGCTTTACCGCAATAATTAGTAGATATGTTTTGAACTGTTTTGAATGAAAACAACAATGGCAACATTTTCTTAGTGCGGAGAGGACGACGTAGGGTTGGTTGTGCCGTGTTTTCTTTGATTTAGGCTCCACACAAAAAGTAAGTTCTTATCAAAACATAATTAGTACCTATTCTCCTAAGCTGTAGTATTGTTTTGTTTATATTTTATGTGTTCTTATCTGTGCACATGTCGTATTGAGGAGTAAGGAGTTGGTGAGCAACTAAGACCAAAATGTCTAAGTCTCACTAAGAATACCTTCGCGTTGGCAGCAAACGCACGAACAGGCCGATAATTTAACGTAGGCTACTACATAATTTCCCTATCACAGAATGTGTTGAATTTTTGTAGAGTATGGTTTATTTTTTTGGGCTTTTCAAAGTCAGGCCGAGTAAAATTAAGGAAACTTAATGAACTGTTACGAGTTACGATCGACTATATTCATATTATTCTATCGTGCATTATACCTATATTTAAAACTCAAATGACAAATGCAGAAATTCAGAGAAGAATTTCTCTTCAAATATTTCTGTGTAAAGATACTACCTAGGACATGATAAATGCCAAAAAGTGGAAATTTACGTGTCCTCCAAATGTAAATGAAAGTTAGCCTAGACATTTTTTATATTGAGCTTGTGAGTTGTGAGGCGTGAGCACTGAACAGTTCAATAGATATTGAAAATATGAATTAGCCTAGGCCTACCTATGCATCTGATCTCTTTAACAACTTAACAAGATAGTAAAATTGTCAGAATTTGGTAAGCTTTCAATAATGTGGAATGTGGAATATACCTACGTACTATCTAGGGTAAATGCGGTGCCTATATTCCGACACATTAAGGATGTAGCAAAAAATGAATGGCTATAAAAAAAATCACCGTATGTGCAACTCAAGTTCTGTTTGCTTTACGTCACTCTCAAAACACTGCACTATGTGCCATCAACAATGAAATGTCACAAACTGTGGCCATATTTATTTAAAAACCTTTTGAATGCAAACTTACCAAATCCATATATTCTGATGCTGTGTGTCACTAAATTAGGCATTTTGTGAGACTAATTCTGGCCGTGCTTTAAACTCTACTAATTCGTAATTCCAACCCTCTTATGTTTGAATTCCAATTGCTGTGTGAGCTGTATTAGAATACGACACAGCTCAGAATTAGAACCAGGATGGAATTCTAATATTGACGGTTCATATATTATTCCCGATACACCTACACCAGTTTTCCGATACAACATTATTTGAGGCAAAAAAATGAACTTCTTATAGGCTTAAAACACGTATGTGTATGCTAAGTTTCTTTAAGGTAATTCACTGGAAATGTTGCGTGCTAGCAAGGCTGCAGGCGCAGCTTTCACTCAACAATTAAAATTATACAAAGTATTAGTTCATTAAAGATTTGTCTCTTAATATGACTGCAAAGAAGTAAACTTAATAAAGTAATTACAGCTACCGTGACTACGCTGTCAAGCAGACTTTTCGATGATGCATACACTAAACACGCAATTCATGGGAGCGAGAGTGCGAGACTACATAGAACAACAAAACAAGGCGCCCAGCATGCAACTGCAAAAACAAATGACGATTGTGGCAGCGGCAGCACGGATCATAACGTTAATATAGTCAATGCAAGAGAATGATTAATTATGATATTTCTGATGGAGATTTGAAATATTTTTGGAAGCCTAAAACTATAACAAATTATTTCATTACTTTGACATGGTTGATTTCAAAATAAATATTTTAATGCGAATTCATGAAAAATGTTTAAAATAAATTGAATAATGTTCATTTATTTCTATAGGTGGGAGTAATTCGAGTAAACAACTATGAATCAATTTATTATCCTTTAAATAAGAATCTTTGCATTGAAACTTCTGGAAGATGTGTCCACCGCAATATTTGTACAGTGGTATCAAGAGTCAAAGCTGTCAACCGATCGTTGGATGGCCGCAAATATGTCGCATCGTTCTACCTATTACAGTCAATAGAACATAAATAAACTCTGTTCATCAAAAGGACAAAAAGCTTATGTATCAAACATACGTGGTAGTACAATAAATTTTGAGATCTCCAGTCGTGAGACTTAAATTCATACTCATAGGTGATCTTGTATTTCTGCACTGTGTTCAATTAAGCAATTTGTAAAATCATAAATTTCGAATAGGTACCAACTTTTTCAATTTAATTCTGAATGAGTCGTGTCTGTTGAATTCTTATAGGGATCATTAATTTTAGCATCGTATTTCTGAAAATCAAGAATTGCATTTCTTTTAAATTAAAAACATTATTTTACATCAAAAACAATTTTTTTCTTACAGCTTCTTCGATAATTGATGATCTCACTCATATAACTTAATATTTTAAATATAATGATTTTGTCATTTTGATGACTAAACTTTCTTTGGTTCATTAAAATAAAATGATTACCTACTGCTTATAAACAACCAACGTTTCCTAAAAGACACAAGACGTTCGAAAACTCGCCATGGGAGACAAAATCATTCAGGATTTGAAGTGAAGTTATAAAAACAAATTTGACATTATAGGGCGAAAACATGAAAAAATTTCGTATTTAGAAGCGTACCAATTGGTGTTTAAATTTTGAAACAATTTTCCATCATTTAAATGTCACTGTGAAATGTGGATCAAATCTATTTATTATGAAATAGAACTTTACAAGACCAAAACAAGGTGTCTGACACCGTCTTGTCTAATGTCAACAGTCAACACAATGTTGCCACACGCTGTGAAAGATTAGCAGTTTATCCCATCATTCCGTGTGGATTCAAGAACTTTGTTGGTATTGCTGAAATCGTGAGAATTTTCTGCGAAAGTTTATGTAATTTTTATTTTCTATTTTGGAACATATTCATTACAAAATTTGTCGATACGGATAAACGACTAGTGATGTATTGGAGAGAAGAGTCGCCGACTTTTTATCGGTTTTCGAACCACACGCAAGCGAGTTAGAGGAAGTGCAGCTGTCCGGATGTCCGCAGTTTCTGACAAGCTCAGTGTAAGAGTATGAGTAATTGAGTATCAATTGTCACTTTGATGGAAGGTGTATGGTGGTAAATTTTTCAATACATTTTCTTTTGTTAACATGATAATATATTACCTATACAGAATTCCATACTGATTAGAACACTATTGAATGTTGAACACTACTTAATTAGGCATTTAATTAAAAGCTATTAAGCTTTTAATTAAGAAAATTTCAATTTTTGCACACAGCTTGGAAGAAGCTGTGTGTGTAATTCCAAGCTGTGTTGGAATTAGTTTTTGTGTCTAAAACCGTCTCTTAACTTGATCATGTATTAATTTATTTAGGTACCACTTGAAATCAGCAAGTACAAGTATATATTCAGACTTATTTAAAAGTCTCAAACCATAATATTCTTTCTACACAAACAGTTTATCACCATTTGGTAGAGCAAGGTCTACTATCAACTTTGACACATTTTTCGATGTTCTCACTGGGTGACATACACTGTCTCTCTTTGGATCTTGACATTTTCCTGCCAGACAGCCCAGACCTAGTGTTTTGGCAATAGTATGACGTCAGTCACGTCATTATTTCAACCATCAACGAATGCGTGGAACTAAGACAAAGTTTAATATAAAGAAAAAGTTGAGAGGTGTCTGAATTACCCATGATGTTGGAATATACCGTGTTTACCCTACCTTTTAAGCCACAACTTAAACTTTTCCACCACTTTTAAAACCATGTTATATTTCTGCTAAATCATAAATAAATGATCTACCTCATGACCATGGTCAGGAACAGGATTGGAATTTTCCTACTTGTTTCTAAAACTGGTGGCTCCAACTGGATAAATTTTCAATACATTTGGAATCACGTGGCAGCATGGCCTGATCTTGCACTTTTGTTAACAATTAAATAGAAGTTAATTCATCTGGTGGAAATTGCACAGTTCTGGAAATGGCAGGAAAGCTCTAGTTGCGGCCCTAATGGCAGAAATTTTCATGCTTGGTCAGGAAGATGTGCCAGGTAGACAGGAATTTATAGTGCAGTTGTATCAATCTGCGCCATGCGCTTTGATATGCCGGATTGCCAGTAAAGAATGCGCCGTGTGCCATGCTCCAAAAGTTGTTTAAAGATGAATGCGCTGCAAGGCCATCACACGCGAAAGAATATCTGCATTGAGTTGACTAGATTTCTAATATGTTAACACAGGTTCTAAGATTTGGCGCGGATATGCAAATTTCTTCATTATTCATAGATCATAATTCAATTAGACATGAATTACAAAACTGAAGCATAGAAGGCAAGATGTGCTATCGGAGTATTGGTGCCTTCTAATGAGACTAGTTGTGGCAAATAGTACAAACCCGTATGTCAATGTAGGGAATACATTACGTTCCCAACTTCCCCCGGGCTGGTGAAATGGATGTATTGTTATTAAGCATTACCTCCTGGTAATACTTAATAACAATACGTGTAAGAGGACTATACAAATTAAGTTAACAGGGCATTATTACAGAGCATAATTAGGCTAGGTGATACGAAATATTCAAGAAAAGATTGATTTCTTAAGGCAAGAGTCCCTTAAGCAGTTTGACAGCATGGTGTAAGCGTGGATTCGATAGTTTTATCAGATATTGTTGGTCCAGGTTGAGAGCCTTTTGCAGTAACTTCTAACTGATACAGTTTGGTAATGGGGCTAATAACTTTTCTGGAGCCTGTAATTGATTCTACAGAATGAACAAGGTTATCGTTGCCAGGAATCAAAGAAATTACTTGTATCTGTGCGGACTCTTGCACAGCAATGGCCGAGAGTTGGGCCAACACCTGCACGAAAGAAAAGAGTTTAATTGTCTTGAGCCAACTGTGCCAACAATGTCTTGAGCACAGTCATTATGTGCGGGGAAAATTCCCCAAAAACATACGTCATTCTGAGTGGGGCCTTATGACTGTAATTTGTAAATAAATGTGCAGGATTGGGCTGAGTTTAAAGTAATGTGAGGCAGGGTGAGAGTTTTCCTATTTATTATAGTAATATTGTTGCTCCTAAGTGACAAATTTTTGGCAAATTTCTGGTCACCTCTTGAAAGGTAGTAGATACGTCTCATACCTGTGGTAAAGTAAGGGCTATAAAAGTGGGTGTTGAAAAAGTCAACTCAACAATTGAGAGCATTTTGGTTTTCTTCATGTGTTTTGCTTGACCAATTTTTTGGAATGGACCTCTTGGCAGATACTAACTTTAGTTTTCCCTTTCATTCCTTTCATTTTACGTCAATCTCAAGCCTTTGACACCTTTGACATGCCCATGGCTGTGTAGCAAAGCACAGTGCTTGGCCATGATGTATACCTTTCGTCACAGCTCATGCCACTGCCCTGGTCAATAGAAAACACAATACTGATCATAAGTAGGATTCATTGAGTGTGATTCCAGACTGTTATGTGGGGCCTTCAAGATTATGATATTGACATATTTTCAAGCTATCTCATGATCTAGATCTTGAATTTCTTTCAATGCTTATTTGCAGGCTAGATTGAAATTTTTTAACTTGTTAACATTAATCTTGTGACTGCAAGGTGACCTATATAAAATTTGTGAATTTTGCAGCCTAATCATGCACTTTCCCTGACACTTTGATACAATATGGAATGAATTATTATATTTTAAATTTAAAATATGTTACCATTTCATAACATGCCTTTTTCCCTTCCTGTTTTATAATATCTTGCTATTCTCTCACTATGAGTAAAATTATAGGTCCAATTTATATCCTTACTATCTACATGATTATACATACATATGATACATAGGTTGATCCTTGTTGTGTAGCCAAACAACCCCTATGTATTTAGGGCACCAGGCAATAAGCACCCACAGAGCAATGCTCTGTTAAGTACATACAATAATTTGTTCTCTTCAATGAAAATTTTGTTTTAAAGGCATAAAATTGATAAATTCAGTGCATGGGAGCTCAAAGAGAAGAACTCTCTAATTGGTGGCTCTTGTTCAACAGCTCTGCAATGGACAAGTCACTTACTACCAAGTCTCCTTTGGGCTCTAAGGAAATAATTAAAAGAAAACTCTTTGCAAGAAAACCTTATCTTGGAGTATCCTTGTCTAATGCACTGCATGCAGTGAAGACAGGAAAACTGAGTATTAGTCAGGCTGCTCATCAATATGGCATTCCCAAGTCTACCCTCAGATCTCGCCTTGCATCTAACACTTCGATGGTTCCATCACATGGTGGAACAGCTCCTGCTCTTTCTGCTGATGTGGAGAAAGATTTAGTAGATTGGCTTCATGCTAGAGACAGAATGGGTGCTCGTGTTGGATGGCATGAGCTTGCTTTGGCTGTGGAAAAACTATTGGAAATTAGTCCTGCCACTTGTACATCTTCTCTTCCTTCCAAGTCTTTGCATTCAAGTCTCCCATCAAGTGGTTGGCTTGTGAGATTCAAGAGAAGGCATCCTAGTGCTCCTATGTTGAAAACAAAAAAGGAGGATTGGTATCCCCCTAACAAGTTTACTGATGAAGTATTTCTGGAATGGATAAGACAACTGCAAAGCCACATTATTTTCAAAGCCGACATATCTGTCTGTGACTTATTTACATTTGAAAAGGCTAATCTCATACCGTAAAATGGGGTAACTTAGACCGGCGGGGTAACTTAGACCACTTTTCATTTTTTTAACAAAAACCCCCACAACTCAAAAACTATTTGACTTTATTTTACCAAAAAATATAATTGATTTTACCACCCGGTCTAAGTTACCCCAAGAGCTGGGGTAACAAAGACCATCACTTTTTTTGAAATTACATAAAGACTATGAGAGGCAGGAGCCAGCAATTTATGGTGAGTGGAGCTAGAGTATAGACCTGTATTTTGCATGTTTCAATTCAGGTGTAATTTAGCTAGTAAAAAAATGGCATCATTTATATAAAAAAAAGTGGTCTAAGTTACCCCATTTTACGGTATACACCATTGGCTTGCTGACATTTTCTCTTGAATCCTCCAGAGTGTCAGTTTCTTGGGAAAACAACAAGAGCGGTTTTGCGCAACTGTTACTATGCTTTGATGCAACTGGTAAAATAATGAAACCAACCCTTTTGATTAATCAAGAACAATTACTGGTATGGCAAGAATTGTCTACACAAGATAAATCTGTTTTTGATGTGCTAGTACATGAGGAGTTTTTCAATTCTGATGTGCTGTGTGTAATGATAGAAAAAATTGTTGCTTTAAAAAGTAATTCTGAGATCTGTCTGCTGCTGTTGGACAAGTCACTGGCAGTTGCTGATCCAACCGCCATGAAATTAGCTCAGAAAAGCAATGTTGTCTTGCACTGTTTTCCCTACCATTCACTGAAGAAACAACCTCGGTATTATGGACCACTTGCTAAAGTTAAGCAGATTGTTGATGGTAAAATAATTGATGGTCTTTCTGCATCAGAGAAATTTTGTCTAATATCAAATTCATGGCAACAACTGAATACAGAAAGCTGTGCATCTGATAGCTTCAACTCTTGTGGCTTGCTGCCTTTGAATGTTGAATATATACAGGCACTGGAAGTTAGTTCGGGAAACTCAAACAAGTCCTTGAATGCAACAGAATTGGAAAGATCTGTCTCATCTGACTTGATCAAAGGCATGGAAATTGCTTTGAATGTGATAGAAACTCGGTGCTTGGAACCACAGTATTTGCCTGTGTATGAAAATTTTTTGATGCAGAATTCATCTCCAAAGAATGATCCAATGTTTAATGTTTGGAAGGAACTGAAGTGTGAAATTTCTTTGTACAAAAACAAAAGCATTAATGAGCAAGCACTTGGTTCATCAACTGCCAAAATCGCCACTGATAAATCAGGAGACTGTTTGATCAATGAGCAAGGACCCATTGATGATGTGCATGCAACTAAGCCTGAACTTGCAGCTCCCAAACATTGTGAGGCTGAGGAACCTGAAAATTTAGAGAGCAATCGTGAACCTTACTCAGCACTATTGCGGGATTCAGTTCCTATAAGTGATCGATATAAACGCGAGTTCAATTTCGATACCATGCCGGGATTGAATCTAGAACAACATGCCCTGGAAATAATGGGGCAATACCAAGCCATGACAGGCTCAGTTGATCTTCAACAACTTGTTATTGATGCAGACACAGATTTTGAAACTGATCTTGCTAATTAATTCTTATCAGCTACTGTAAAGTATGCGGAGAAAAGGCCAAGTTGCTTGTAAGTGTTTATTACATCAAAGATTTGTATATGTTAATTTTTTATTTGATAAGTTAGTTGTGTAATTTGTGCTAATAACAGTTGCTCCCTCAGATTCGAGATGGTGCAGGTTACCCCTGATGTCGCGTGGAGCATCCTGCGCAAGAATCACGCATTTCTCATGAAGCGTGATCACTGCAAGCCTTTCTCTAAGGTGAATATTGGGTTTTTTACATCCTTGACATCCTCGTGTTCATTACATTGTTTAATATTAACAACAGTTTGAAAAGAGGGTATGCAATTGCGATTTACACTATTTTGTCATGTTTCTCGTGAATGATTTATTTTCTTGTACAGGTCCTTATTGAATATTTTTTCTTTCAGGAACGCTACAATCTCAAGAACATCCACAGCAAGAAATACAACGGCTTCATTCCCAAATCTGTAATTGATGTTGCTAGCACCAAGGGCAACCGCGGTATTGTCATCTCACACCGCAAGAAGGGGCATCAGGTACCGTAGCTATTTAAGAACACCTACGACCTATGAAAAAAGTTGCGCATGTATCTTAAACCAAAGTGCCAAATGTGTCTTCAACGAGTTTGACAGTTGTGGATGAAGGTAGTACTTGATTGTGAATGAAATTTAAATATCGTTAATTTAATGTTTATATCAATATTCAATTGAAACAATTTGCGGAGTTGTCAACGTTGAAATTTACCATGAATAAATTTTTCAAGACATGAATGAACCTGGCAAATTTGTAATTTTCAATTTGTTGCGAACACAGCAACTAATTCGTTGCGAATACAATGGCCCATCTGTATACTTAGTAAATGGTGAATAATAACAGCTCTGTGATCAATTCATATTCAGTAACTGGTGCTTTCAGTGTGTATTCTACTGTATAACATTCAAACGTTTCTCTGCATCTACAATCGGCAAATATCTATGAATAGTCGTTTCCCAGTTCCGTCCCGCCCTGAACTACTGCCGCGAGTCAATTCGCACCAGCGACCGCCACATCTTCCGTCACATCAGGATCCTGACCCGCGGCCTTAAATGTCGACAGGATTTGGAAATGGTGGGTTGGAAAATTGTTATTTTGGTCTAGGTTAAAGTTAAATTTTGATGCATGCATAACTCAGCAAGTTTATGGTAGTGGAAAACTTACAAATTGTTCGCCAATAATTTGTCTAATGAGTCGATCATTTTCTGACTATAAAATGAAATGAAACTAGTACGACGATGAGGTATGAAATGAATATAACATGTCTATAATTCATTGAATACCCGATGTCAAGCGCAGAATGGGATTATATTTTAACATCCATATACCTCATCAGACTGCTCTGGCGCGCGCTTCGACGCTCCTGAGGGCCCAGCAAAGAATTGCCAACAGGAAGCCAATGCTGTACAAGCTGAAGGCTAAGAAAGTGAAGAAGGCCAAGAAAGAAAAGAAGGCGTCCAAGAAAGCTGCTGCTGCTGTAGCCGCCGCCACCAAGTAATTCCTCAATAAACCGAGGTTGTCAGTCTATTTGTATTTTTGACATGCTGGGTAAATAACGGTTGATACACAAAAAACAATTTATTCAAATTAGGTTCCAATATACAATATAATCCAGAACTGGACGTGTGAGGCAGAACGGTTACCGCGAATCTCGTAAGAGAACTCGAGAGCGCATAAAAACCATCTATAAATACATGAGCTTTTCAATGAAATAATTCGAAAATATATAGACACATACATTGCACCAGGTTCAAATTGCTTCAACACTGACCACTGTGAACGTCAGTGTTCCAACTTATGGAAACTGCATATAGGCACGATCGAGAAACTGATTTCATTATATCCTCCATTTGCTGCATATGCATCTAAATACGCTTCGTATATGAACTAATTTCATAGTAAATAATGCAAATAACGGTACACTTAAATGTATTCATCATATACTTCGAAATAAAATACCAATATACAGTTAATACAAAAAATATGCGTTGCGATATTAAAGTTTTGTTTGCAGATGTTGCTATTGTTCTTTGACTTTCATGTAAGCAATTAATTTGCTTGTATTCTTCCGAAGATTTACCACAATTCAAAAGAAATATACCGGCATTCTATTCTAAATGAATAACCCGATCAAGCTTTTGCTTGGTACACGTACCAAGTTTATAATTTTTGGCGTCAAATCTATTGAGTACCTTTTGGTAATAATTTGGGCTGCATTATAAAAACAAGAATCAAATTACCAAAAAAAAATTATCCGCTATCTATGTTCGAAATCTTATACAGGAATTGTTGAAAACTAAAAACTAACGAGGCAATTACGTCCCTGTTTGTGTAATTTTTGTGGATTCTACCTTGTGTTTTACACCATTAACATCTTCGTGAAACACTTCGTTGTCAATGCATCCATTTCCTACAACCCCAGCTACATCCTTACGTACGGTATTGCCGATGGTATCAACAGTTTGTTTAGAAAAGGCATTACTTTTATTATTCACCGAAGTGTGCACCGCAGAGAACTCGCGGTCGTTCACGACGCTTGCGCTCGCATTCGAAGCAAGAGATGAGGTCGAGTTGCGGTGCTTGATGCTTGGATGTGTGATGTTGAAGACGATACCAATACGCAGGAAAAAGCGACGGAGCACCGCTCTCAACTCGGGGGTTAAATTGAAGCACATAATTTCACACAAGAACGGGTAGTAGTTCGATGCGTGAGCTTGGAACTGAAGAGAACAAAATATCATGAACACGCGTACACTTGGATAATAAGATAACGAAATTTTTGATATTCCAACGTCATCCTCAATACTGTCTAACATGTAAAATATCTTGAGAAGTGACAAAATTGAGAAACGTGTGAAAATTGCAATCATCCGTTCACCTGTTCATGAGGCATCTTATGGATGTTCGTGAGGAAGAGCAGCAGCAAGCTGGACCAAGCCTCGCGGTGACTTTCGGGCAACGCTAGGAAGTATTCCAAGCCCGATCGACACACGGCGATGAGACGCTCTTGTACCTAATAAAGCCTCCGTTATTAGGCTTTGTGTTCAACATATATACCTTCCTAAGATAGTATTTAGGGCCACCAGAAAGAGAGCAACGCGTAATTTCTAAAATGACACACTACTAATGGAATGGCCTCGTAAAAGACGTCGTTTGCACGGCACGTAGAACGTCGTGGACCTACCCCACCAGAGTTGCGTCAAAGCATGTATATGAGCACCACTAATATTCAGTTGCATTCTGTGACCGGTAGTTCGAGAACTTGTTTTTTTTCTCAAATAAAAAATTATTTCACAAGTTCAAAGTTGACTACCAATTGGAATTCAACTGAAATTGGTTGGAATTCAACTGAAATTGGTTGACTTGCACATTATGTAATGTGGTATATTTGACTAAACACCAAGCCGTTCTTTGATATATACTCAAGTTGAATGATTAATTTTCTAGGATGATTCTATACATTATAGATTGTTAGAACATGACCACTGAAGTGTGCTACGAATTAGGCAACATTGAATTAGAATTTTTGTTCAACTGGGAATAACTGAAGAACTGACCTGCGGCCAATCGGCTTCTCTGGCGGTGTCGCTCAGCATTTTGAAGAGAATTCTAAGAGCGCAGGCCAGCGATTGTGTCTCTTGCTTAAGGAGGTTTGGTTTGACGCTGCCCTTGAAACCTTTCAACAAATAAGTAAGAGGGGTAATGAATCCAATCTACAAAATAACAAGCTTTCTGTACAAAGAAAATTCATGTTGAAGAGCCAAATTTCTTTGAAATGCATAAATGATCAGCGGTAAATGCCGTTAATGAAAAGATGAAAATTTTTTCACGCCTAATAGACAAGAATTAAACGAGTTCTCTAGCGAGAGAAACATCGATAAACCAAGACCTGCTCCAGGTGACATTTTTACCGAGAAATAATATACTGCACTAAATGTAAAGTTATAGATACACCGGAAAAGTTTTGTGTCTGACCAGCCTTCCAGAGCAAGTTGCGCTGTTCGTGGTTACTGTTGAAAGATTTGGCGAAGGAGTGCGATGCCATAAGACAGTCGAGGAGGGTGAAGAGCTGCTGGGAGCTCAGGTAGCGGTACATGCCTCGGTCTTCCTCCCTGGCGCTGTTAGTTAGGCGAACTTCGTCTGGCGGCAGCACCAGCGCGTCGTCACTCGCCTGAAGTTGATTAATAATTGCATTGTAATTGAAATAAACATTGGTTATATCATAAACAAGATAAACATATTAGCAAGAAATCGATATTGTATTTGTTTCGATCAGAGATCTAAACAATTATTTTCGCAATTGATTACTCAATACGAATGATTAGGTATATCCATAGAGATAATAATAAATATAGCGAGTTGATGAATCTTCGCCCAATGTGGGTACAAATTTGAACATCTCAACTATAATCCAGGAATACTAAGTTGTGTAATGTCAAATTTTTTTTGTGTGGGATTAACGCAAATTTGCTCACTATTACATAAAGCAGGAAAAAGCCATTTCTAAGCGGCAGACCTGGGCCAGGGCGAGGTTATGTTGATCTTCCTTCTTGCTGGTCGTGGGGTAGAAGACGATGTTGTCGATGCACTGGATGAGTTCGAGTTGTACCACGCATCGTATGAGCAGGCCTGAGAATTCCCGACTCTCGCGACTCGCTAGACTCGCCTGCGCCAAAACCATTAATTAAAACAGCATGTGGGGGAAACGCCACGGACGTCGAATACGGCGAAGATAGTTTTGGCCCAGAAGTTTTAACAGGATCCGAAATTTTTTTTCTGTTTAGAATTATACGAACTGGTTAGCAAAAAGTGTAATTTTGGTAGGGTTATTAACTTATTATTCAAAGAAATTTTTAAAGATGTAAACTCACGACTGCCTTCAATTTTATATACCCAAGTATCAATCTTAGAAGATCTGACTCGTCACGAGGCAGATTCTCCTAAACAATTAGACTCTGGAAATTACAAATAAGAATAAATTACGCAAATAATGATAGGTGGAAAAAATTGCTCAAAATACAAACAAAAGATCGGATAAAAAAACAATGTGAATGCAACAATCGACATTACGTCAAACTTCTGCGCATAGTGCGCTCGTTTGCAGAATTTTTTTTACAAAATCAGCGAAAGGATTGAGTATACCTGAAAAATACTAGTAATAACTCATCAGGCATACGATTTCGACAAGCAAAATACGAGTATTTAATTTAAAAAGACTCACTTTTAAGGGCAAGCAGGAATTTAGTGATAAGTAATTTCGTCAGTATAGAACGATATCGCACATTTTTACACAAGATTTATTGATTTATTTCCAGAACTTTGAAGTTGTATTGATTTATAACCTCAACTTTCTCTTTGTACTTATGTCAAGTTGAGCATGGATGACTAGACGGAAGGGGTTAAATTAATGACATTCGTTTCAACTATCACAAGTCACCAAGAAATAAAAGATTTATGTGCATACAAGAAGGATCTTAGGACGCTAATTAAAAAACCTTAAACACAGGTACTGATTTGTGACGATTTTAGAAACAAAAAAAATAATTAAAAAAAGTAAAATTAAATGATATTGTTGGTGATATTTATTTATGAAGCAAGTATGCCATGCATCAGTTAGATGGGACAGTCAGGCAGCTCCATAATCTATAATGAAGAAGCTCTGAAGCACATGCGTTCATTTCACCGAAAGTCCGAAACAATTGAGTGTCAAAAAAAAAAAAAAAAAAAACGCTCCTCAATCGGTCTTATAGTCAGATTCTTCTGCCTTTATCACGATATTGCATCGGATCAAACAGATGTATAAAAAGTAACAATATTACGAAGCACGCAAAACATCATTTATCACTCAAAGTTTCCACTTACTAAGATGGATTTGCTAGGAGTGTTAAGCGGAACCATCTTAAATTATAATTATTATCTCTATTAGTAATAGTTGTTTGAACTTCAATGTCGACTCGAAAAAGACATGCTGAACACCACTCATGATCGCCGCACGAGCTGGTTATCTCAGGCTAGCATTGGCACAGCATTTGAAGCTCAACCGTCATGCAAGGAGCTCAAGACTCACAACGAAGCTCCATAGCATAAGCAGTAGCACTGATCAGAATACCTTCATCCTGGCAGCCGTACTGCCGTAATCCGGTTGTGTAAGCATTTCTCGAGTAAGCGGCTAAATGTAAGTGAAGGGTAAACTTAATTCAGCGACCCACACAAATTGTATTCTTACAAGTGATTTTATAAAGTAACAGAGGAAAATTGAGCAAGTATTAGACTAGAGAGTAAATCTACGATAGGATATCTTTAAAGATTCATTCTTATTCCTTAGAAATGTCTGCATTTCAATGCAAAGAATTCAAGAGTTAGTAAAGCGCTTAGTGGTTTCTATAAGACCCACCAAAATCCTCACAAACAAAGTAGTAAGCAGGCATAAATACCACGTAGCCATATAGAGAAACTTAAAATATCCGACCTGCGGGCTGTTGCCAACAACCTGCTCGCCAGGATGCTTGGGTCGCCACGTGAGCAGCGCGTGGGGCAAGGTGCTCCTGAAGATCTGCAGGAGACACTCGCACGTCGAGTTCCACGTGTCTTCGGACAGCGACGCGCCGTTGCTGATCACCAAATTCTCGAGGCAGTTGGTGCCTGACCGCGCCAGCTGTTCGTTGTCTGAATGAATAAATAACCTTCGTAAACATCGGCACAAGCAAAGAAATTAATAACAAAAAACAATACATTTACTAAAACAAACTATAAAGTATATTTTGGTTTCACCTAACAATTTTAAGATTCGATTTAAGAAGCTAAGAAACAATCACAAAGACGGTGGATTTTAATTCTCCAACACAAGGATTCAGTTAGTAGTTCTTAAATACTAAAATTGTATTGAAATTCATAGTTTTAGATGAACGGTAACACTAATTGATAACAACGTGTTATGAATAAATATATCTTGTAAATGATAAATTAGACCGAATTTCAATCCCGATATAATTTTTCAATCATTTTGTATAATTTTGTAATGCTTCTGCAACTGCACAGTTTAAATTTTAATTCAGATGTTAGCAGCAGTAACCATTGCGAAGAATTTGACATTAGTTGGACAAACAATATCGAGGATTTACTGACCTTGTTGAACGCACCACTGCAGCTGCGCGTAGAGCTCTTTGAGCAGAATGGGACTGAGCACGTCGAAGTATTGCGTGAACACGTCCACGATGGCGTACAGAGCGTGGTTGCACGTCGTCGTCATCCATTCCGCCTTCTGAGTTCCGGTGAAAAATCAACAAATTTAATTGGTATGCCACGAAAAATTGTGGATTCAAGGTAAGGTTTTTATAAATACACAATTAAGGATTAGGTTTTAAGGATAAGGTTTCTTTCGCGATAAGGTTTTTATAAATCAGTTTCTTTTTAGGATACTTTAATACTTTTTTTGAAGTACGAGATCCGTTTGAAGTCGGGTAATGAAAAATCGTACAAGAAAGATCGAGCGAGCAGCAAGTAAAACCATAGAAAATGACGTGTACAAAAATTATGTCTCAAAATGAAAAAAATCATAATTTTAAAAGCAAGAACATGAACAATAGAAACAAAATTTCCAAACGCAAGGAGTTTAGAAGTTTAGAACCAAGTGAGAGGCGTCAAAACTAAAAAACTTCTGTGCTTACATGCAACAAGTTTAATATAGAGGTTGAAATGCTTGACAGAATAGAGATAAATTAGATGTTGAGCTTGAAAAAATGAAGAGAATATAAATCAAGTTGATGTAGAGGTTGCCATACTGAGGCGCGCAAAGAAACTGACAAGACGCTTGGTTCAGAACGCTTAGAGGAAACGATGACAAAATTTTAGAGGGTGAAACGCTAGAGTTGAGCACTTTGACGCACGGAAAGCTTCAGAATAGAAACCAAAACCCCATCCCCAAGCAGCATCTTAGAACATGTACTTCAATATTACACTTTGGAATCATGTTACACTCAACCGAATCATGGGATCATATGTATTCCTTCACGAGATCCTAGCGTCATATATTAAACGTCTCACTCTGGTATTACCTATTGCTACATATATACACTCTACTCGCATCATATGCTCCATTACTCCTACACAAATATTATAAAATTTATTTTTATCATAGAAAAGCAGAATAACATTCGTTGCGCTGGATGGATATTTCCTCCAGCTTCAGAATCTCATTAGCAAATCGTCTTCTTCATTATCATAACTACCTTCAAACTAACGTCATGAAAAAAACGAGATGTCAAAACCCATTTAACTACGAATTCTTGTTTCAAAATTAAAAATAAAATTAATTTTTTTAAGCCAGAGTCTTACGATGCCCTCACGATACGCCCCACTGAAAATAAAACAGGAGGCGAACTTGTTATCTCGAACACGATAGGTAATACAGATACGCGCTCAAATAGTCCCAATATATTTACAACGTAACTCTTAACCCTGCAGAGGTCGCGGGCAAAAATTGACCGAACTGGTCACTTTTCCGTTCGGTTTTGTTACGGTCGATTTTCTTAGGCAACCACTGTGGGGTTAAACGAACAAACACATCAAGAAATTTATCCAAATATTCAATATATTATATGGAAGTGACCGGTGATGGTCAGAATACGCCAATGTAGGGTTAAACGAACAAACACATCAGAAAACTTATACAAATATTTAATATATTATATGGAAGCGACCAGTGTTGGTCAGAGTACGCACCTCGAGCTGCATCTCGCTGTAGGCCGCGGCGCTCTGTACGAGAGAGACGAGGAACTTCAAGCACTTCAACACATGCTTGCCAGCTCAACTACACTCTTAGGAAACTTATCTCGTCACGTGCAGTTGTTGTGCTTGTACAAATGCTTGGACAACCATTGTACTCAATCTTAAATTGATCTAAATTGAAACAAGTTGGCTCGAATACAATCCGACCAGCTTGAGTTCAGTCCATCGAACTCCCATGACACAGCTCGAGTTAAAACTATCACTAAGATGTAGAATATATAATTAATTGGTAGCAAATGTCCAAGTTGCAGCATTTTAACGGAAAAATCTTGAAAAATGTTTCCTCAGTGAGTATTTTCAAACCGCATTTTACCCAGAGATAAATGTTCCAGCTCAGGAAGAGAATAGCAAATTGAGACGGACGAGATAAATTTCCTGAAGCGGATACATTTCACATTGAAATAATTTTAGGATCAGGAGGAGCTGCTTGACTGGCCGTGTTCTCATGGTGGATCAACCCGCAAATTTTTTTACAAAATCAATCGCCGATATTTTAGTTTTGATTTACCGAAATAACTTTAATACAGACTTGTAAGTTCAAATTAAGTGTGTAAAAAAGTAATATTATTGAACCAATGGCCCATAGAATGTTAAGAATTTAATAGGGATTACCCAATTGGAACGAAATCTTAATGAAAAACAAGGTTTAGAGATAATATAGGTGATGAGTTCAGTCGAGCATAATCATTGATATAATTAGTGACCACAGTGTGCCTTGCCACCCGAGCACGATTAAATGAACAGGTATTGTCATCAGTCATTACAATCAATGCACGGCACGATGTCGTGGCCACTGAGATCCACTGAATGAAGTGTTTTCACACGGGCAGTCAGGCAGCAGTCTCCTAATAATAACAGATATACAAGGCCTAAGGCACCGCGCTCGCTAACCAATCATGCGCAGATATCACAAATAAATCAATAAATCACTTCGAGAACGTAGAAGCCTCGCCAATAACAAGGAGAAACTTGATTGGGAATGCGAATTGATTTCCCAGTAAAAATTAAATAAACGATCATCAACAGTTCAAGAATAAGATTAAAATAAAATAATCAAAATCAAGACAGAAAATTCTAGCTTCAATTTAAGGCTACAAACAATAACATGAACAGCAAAATCAGTAACTATATGTTTTTCAGGACTTGAGTTCACTCAAGAATTCGACTTGGGGAGTGAAAACAAAATTTCATGCAGACGAGGATGAATTGCAAGGATACACTCACTACTAATTACGAAAATATATCAAAATACGCTTCTTCTGTACTACGATCTGAACTGAATTCAAGAGAAACTAAAGTAGAAACTGAGTGCGTAGAGTAAAGTCGTTGAGTTGAAATGCATGGAACTACTGACAACAAACTATGAACTTACCTGCATGACTCGCTGATAGACGCTTTAGACGTCACTGATACCGAAAATTTAATAGAAATTGCGAGATTTATGAAATCTTCACGTTAAATCTGGGCTTTTGAAAATTAATCGCAAGTAAAGAATTAGATATCAAGCAGGACAGATAGAGATTGGTTTATATACAGCAGTGGAAGCTCTGCCAGCTTATCAACATAAGTCTGTCGACAAACTCGGAGTTTTCGAGACGCTTGAACAAGTGATACAATAGAAAAGTTAGTGTAATCTCACACAGCTCATTGAAGGTGCGTTTGTAAAACATACACGAGTGGATTGGTGTTAGGAGGTAATGAAATTATGCATAGATCGAAAATACTACTGAGATCTGGAAAAGAAGAAGTTGACATGGAAGACATGCGGCCTGATGCTTCTTACCTCGGTCTGTTGTTCTGGTAGTTTCATGTTATCGAAAATGCGGAATATGATTTGGAATAAGTCCTTCCACCAGTGAGGGCTGAAACTCTCGCCGTAATTCTTCACCACCTAAGTGCAGGATAGAACACACATAGTCAATAATTCTTACCGATTTGAATGAATTTAAATCGAAATGTGCCGGACTAATAAGCTAGATTAACACAACCTAGTCGCATCAACCATTGAGTGTGCCAAGTGGGTAAATATCTTGAACGTAAACAATCTTGATCAAGTTTCAATTGAAATAAAGGCTATCAATTAATATAGTAGTTGTATATTTGAAGAGCTGAACTGTCACTGTCACGTGTTATAGATTTATTTTTATTTCAGAAATAGAGTTTGCCAGGAAGAGCATGAATAAATCAGGGTATGTTATTAAGGACAAGATACGTATGGGTCATCCAGCATAGTGCGTTAAACTCTCAATTCATACGATTATAATACAAGTACAAAATAAAATTCCCCAAATATGACAGCGATGTTTTGCACGCTTTACAGCACCGTAAAATGCTTGACTCACGAATGATTGACCACGAAGTTCACACAAAAGAAACTACTTGTTATCAATGGTTCAAAACAACGTACTTTATGGAGATTACTTCTTTAATAAAGAAAACGCGTTCAAATACCGAGAGTTTACCTCGAAGAGCACGGTGAGAGCCCTGGTGCGCACGTCAAGCTTGCAGCGCGTGATGATGCAGCTCAGCTCGAACAAGATAGGGAACCATCCACGCACCCACACGCGGTCATGCTCCGTCACTGACAGGTCCTCCAGGTTGTGCTCCCGGAACATCTGTGTCGTATTAATATTAATTAATTAATTAATTAGACAGGTATTAATGCTCCATTTATTATGACAAACCATCGAGGCACTCATACACGGTCATGCTCCATCACCGACAGGTCTTGCAGGTTGTGCTCCCGGAACTTCTGTGTGGTAACCGCTCAGTACATTAATTTGACATTTTATTATATTATAGAGAATATTATAATGATCTGTATCAGTGTGTCAAAACATTCTTAGTCATCCCGTCTTAAAGTTTCTGCAGATCTACATTGTTCGTAGTGAGCAACGCGATACGGCTAGTTACCAGCATTGTTTGATGCAAGCTCGAATTGACATTAAATGGCACAAATTAAACGTATCCTGACTACTTTGCGATAAATCGTACCTGCGTCACTTCGTGATTTCAACTGCACCAAAATGCATCTTCTTCCGTACCTGTGTGACCTCGCAAGTTAAACTGACTGCAGAGAAGCACCTGCTTCAGGACATGGGTGACCTCTTAACTCCAACTAAATACACATACTGGTCGTAAAAACAAGCACATTATGGTCGTAAAAAACACATAACGGTTGTGAAAAAGCACAATAAGGTTGTAAAAATTAGTACATCATGGTCGTACAGAGAAGCCCATTATGGTCGTACAAACAGGCACATTATGGTCGTACCTGTGGTTTCTCATGAACATATTTGGCACAATCTCTGATGAGCGCGATAGCCTCCATACTGGTGTCGGGGAAGCCAGCATTGCAGGCAAATTCGCTGAGGCACTTCACTGAGTCTTGGAATGAATCGATTACAGTGATGAAATGCTTCTGATAGATTTGACCTGCAACACAAAACGCAAACACTTGTCACAAAAATTACGCCGAAGAATTATACTATTTATGTATAAAATAAAGATCAAGAAGAGAATGAGTACAATACGTACAGTACATGTCGTGGACATGCCTTACTCGTCTTAGAGTAAAGCATGTCAGCTTAGATAATTGATAGTAATCATGACTTGGAAACTTCTTCATTGAAAACCGCATGTATAATGATAGATCGCCATATAATGCAAATAAAAAAAGGGGCTTTATTTGGATTATAGGGTATGAATATTACATGAGAAGTATTAACACTAAAGTAAATAAAAGGAGGATTTAAGGGAATAAATGAAAAAATCGACATGATAATACTTACAAATAATCTCTTTGGTGGTGTCAAAGGCCATCTCGACGATATTTTCGTCATTATCGGACGCGGCGAGATGAAAGACACTAAAGATGTTCTTCCAGCCAGACTTGACGTTGCTGGCTTGCGAGTTGACCATCTGAGTGATGCAGCGCACTACCATGTCTTTGATCATCAGAGACCTGAATAAAGGATCAGTAAGATCATTAAAACGAACTCAAGGATACATAATGAAGAAACCATTAGTCAGTCGCTATCAGATCGCTCGATGATCTCAAAGATTTATCAGCAGAAGATGCGCAATGTAGACATGCGTGAAGCTTTCAATTAAATATTGTTAGTGGTGCTTACGAAATCTTTTTTCTAATAACATTCCCTTCAGTAGCTGAAACATTGCATATTAAACCTCTCCCTCAAACAGTCTCATCGATGAACATTTCAATCACAAAAACATTTCCTGCTATGATGTTGCGTTGTCCTCATAGCAACATCCACACAGGTCGTGTGGTGTAAGCTGGCACGCAGAATTTCTGAGTGACTTAGCAGCCGTGACAACGAAAACAAGCTCTCGTAATGAATGACGCTGAAAAATTTATTACGAGTTGACTTCGTTGAAAACACGTTTAATGAACATTATTTCAATGTAGCGTTCATCATGAAATAAGAGTGTCAGGATCTCACCGGTTTCGTTTCATGATGTGCTCGAAGGGTCTCAAAAACTCTTTCTGGAACCTGAAGTTGGAGAACTCTCCTTTCTCAATGAACTTCATTGCAAGCTGGCGTAAAGAATCCACCGCGAAGACGGCGATGTCTTCGTTAGGATTGCAGCCAACTTTGTTGAAGTGTCCACCCAGAACCTGAGGCAAGACAGAAGATATGTTATTTTTATAGGAGAAAATACATTGCCAAGATGAAAAAATGAAAAATTATTTTTTTTTATCAAATCACAATCATTAATAAAGATGTTTTCATTAAGCTATTGTTAGCAACAAATGAAGACGGGAATAGTACCGTTTAGGTTAAAATCGTTTTCTGACAGCAATCTATAAAATCGTTGACAAATTTACCTGGTTGAGAGTACATTAGAATTGTCCATCACACGATTCATCTATTTAATTAGAGTAAGCTTCAGTTTAACTGCAATTCATTGAAACCTTAAATCTTCAATATGATGAGTTACCGTAGTTCCTCTCTCACTCACCGTATTTTCAATCCATTGTATTTCTTTGTTGATTTAATGAAAAATATTTATATTTTCATTAATTCATTTTCAAAAATATTGATATTTTCATTTTTTTTCATTTTCAAACAATTTGAAAAATGCAAATGAGGACTAAGCACCTCCCATATCCTAGACCACTGCAGCCTGATCCTGCCCATGTTGTAGTAGCTGATCTCGACGATCTTCTGCAGGGAGAACATCCGCGGTGTGGCCGCCGACAACTCGTCCAATGAAACCTGCAATAAAAACATATTAAAAAAAATTAAACAGATTATTTTCTAGTATTTAAACTAATCTTTAAAGAGTACAGAGAATAAGTTTTATAAACAGGAACGAAAGCTATTCTTTAATGCTTTAAATTGGTGTCATATATCGGTATTCCAGAGTAACCCACGAAAATACTCGTTAGCTCATAAAAAAAAACAATAATTGACTACCAACAGAGAACTCAGTCATCAGTGGCAGAGACCTAATAACCTCCAGGACGAGTAAAGCCGACGCTATATTTAATTGAAAAATCCTATATTTGTGCATGGAATATAATTGTGTTGCGATGGTCTTGCTATTGTGCCAGGACCTGACAGAGGGCGGTGACGAAGTGCACGACAGCGTCGCCGTCGAGGCGCGTCGAGCCCGTGAATATTCTGTCGACGGCGACCACGACGCTCTGCGACGACGTCTCGCCCATGCTCTCCTTGATGTGCGCCAACTTCTTTTGTTCCCCGCTAACTGGTAAGTAGAAATTGAAAAATCGGTAAAAAATACTGGAAATTTAATTAAAAACAAAGGTTAGCGAATATTAGTAACAAATTTTGTAAAAAGGGTATCATTCGGTCAAGTACAACATCCATTAAGATAAGAATTGATATGATAAGTTGGTTAAGTTTTAAAGAGGTTATAGTGGTAACCGTGCAACACTTCTTTCCCTATTGAATGCTAGATAAATAATTAGCTAATCAATAAAGATAAAATTACGTGACGGTTGTAGGACATACTGACTGTAAGGACTACAAATCTCAAAACAGATCCGGCATGTCAGCGAGCCAGTGATGGTCGTGGCCTTAGTACCCTAGTCGTCATTACCAGGATGAGTAATTACAGTATCAACACCACCATAAGACTCACTGAATTCAGGAAATGAGTCCAGGAAATTAGAAGAGTCGTTGGTCATCTTGAGGCCGGCGTGTCTGATGTACTGGGGCTTGACGCCGGTGCCGATCAGCTGCGCCAGCTCCAGCTGACTGATGCATTTTAGGATCTCCAGCCACGACTTACCCAGGTAGTTCCCTGCATGAGCATACATTCAAATGAGGAACATGCAAGTGTAGATTGAAATTACATGCAATCGTGTAGTGAAATTAAGGACATGATAGCATGTACTATTAAAATAAGGAACTAAACTGCTGGTCATGTACGTACCTAAGTGTGTGTTTGAAACTGTGAATTTAAATACATGAATTGAGATTAGGACAGTAATGGCCTATATTAAAATTAGGAATCTAAAGAAAGAATGTCCATCATAGCGTGTTTTGAAATACTGAATATAATAGCATGTTTCGGAATCACGTAATAAAGCTCATTGGGACGATTATTGAAATTAGAAACATAACCGAGCATCGAAAACAGGTCCAGCGAATTGAGTCCTCCGAGGAGCAGTTTTTTTTTCAGATATTAGTTGCGGATGCATGAATGATATTCCGACGATTGTCTCTTAAATGAATAATGACACAAAAATCACGAAAATGGTCGTGTAAATTCTAACTTTTTATAATGAATTCAAATTGATCAGACCGCGTGCAAAAGATGGTAGAGAACTGCAAAACAATCTAAATCTGGCGTGCATAATGGAATTAATCTGGAATAAATTGATAAATAAGATTGGAATAAATTAATAAATAAGATTAGAATAAATTTAAATCTTATATAAATTTTTATTAAGTCAATAAATTCATTTCAAATTGATCTTGGATAAATAAATAAATTAGATAAGAAATAATATAAGGTAATTGAATTAATCGCGAATAAGTAAATAAATTAGAATGAATTTTGAATGAATTAACCATCAGTGTGGGCGACGGTGATGAGAGTCTTGATGCAGTCGACGTTTTTGGCCTTCATCTCCGTGAGCGGAGAGTTGGCTGTGAGCAGCGTGAACCTCGCCAGGCACTGCACGAACGCGTCGCGCTCCGTCTGTAACATCATCCATAATTCAATCAATTGATGCATAACGTTTAAAATTAATAGGTCAATCAAAACAAGCGGTTTCGAAAATAGTGACCTAATGAATATAGAAACCCAAAGGCGGTGATAAACCCAGTTATAACAAACTTGTTAGTTTTGCGTCATTTAGACTCTTGTGATGAATCTGGTTGTGATTTTGATATTTCTGCTAGATACAGCCGAGCTCTAATGTACGCACATACTGGGTGATGATACCTCCATTTGGAATACTCTGCTAGATAACGGCGAGCTCTAATGTACGCACTCATTGGGTGATGATACCTCCATATGGAAGACACAGGCAATCCTGATGGCACATCTGAGTCCGTCGAGACACAGCGCTGCCACCTCCGCGTCGTCCCCTTCCTGCAGCCCCACAGAGAACGCCGCAAGAAAGCACGCCCATGACAGCTGCTCAATCACAAGTCCCATGGGTAATCAATCACGAACAATGCAAGCGAGATAAATCTATGCATAAACTGGATCTCATAGGTTTGATTCTAAAACTATGCTAACACTAGTTCAAGTTTCATTCTCCACTGACTATTCCGTGAACACTAGTCCTTGTTTTATGGGTGGAAACCTATAGCTTGCCTCGTGCCACACTACCTTGAACATGGGCCTGACATGCTCGACATGAGTGGCAAGCGTGAAGGGCATATCAACTTGCCACACTACCTTGAACATGGGCCTGACATGCTCGACATGAGTAGCAAGCGTGAAGGGCATGTCAACATGCGATGCGGCCTCCATGAGGGACTTGGCGGTGTGCGAGATGCTCTCCATTTCCAAGTTGAACAAAGACTTGCGCTTCTTCTCGTTGGCCACGGCTGTGAAAACATGGTTAAAACTTGCGTCATTTGCACTAATTAGGTGAATGTCATGCTTGCAATAATGACATTGTGTAAATAAAGATAAATCATTTAAGATTGTTAAACACATAGTGAAATAATATTCATTTTCAAGGACGTTTTTATAGCCGGACTTTAATAAAGTAGCAGTCCCAATTTGAAGCTGCCTATCACCAGTAGCCGATCGAGTGATAAAAATTACTTATCAATTCTATACTTGTTAAGAACTATGAGATTTCAATCATTATTATGTAAATCAAATATTGTGAAAATTTATTGTGAAACAAATCCGTTTTGAATGCATTTTTTTCATCTGTTGTAAATTTGCGATAAAAGCAGAGCGAACAAAACAAATGATGGTCGTCAAAGAATGCTAAGTTACAGAATTACTTCGGAATGAAATGGATAATTCATAAAAATTAACAAAAAAAGAAAACAGGAACAAATTCACTTTTGAGCACAAAGCGATCTTGAATAGACTTTTGGAGCAATTAAGTGCCTAAGTGCCAATAGCGATATTAATCAGAGATATAAAATATTTCCTAGATATTTTCCAGAGAAAATATTATTGCGAGGTAATGTCTCACCCATCTTGCCGAGCTTGGTGGACGTGGTCTTCATTTTGATCTCATTGCCGGCGATCTCGTCATAGATCGCTGAGAGGTACTCAGGTGGCAGGTCTTTGCTGTCGTTGATTCCTCTGTTCATTTTGATGTATTGCTCCTTCGTCATCTTATGCTGCATAACATCAATTAATTATGATAATGCTTCCATGAAACTAATTACTTTCATGACTCTCTAGCAACAAGTTATTCAAACGAAAAAATACTTGGCGAAAAAAGAAATGCCGAAATGTATCAATTAATATATAGGTGTTGATAGGCATCTCAAAGTCCTGTATATACGATGAACAATAAAGTGAAAATGATAATGTGCTTATTAAGGTAGTATGTCTTTTTTCTAAACCTATAATCCTTATACAAAAGTGAAGAATGGGCTATTTGAAAGTACCAGCAAAATAATCCGACAGCAATGCAAAAATTTGATAATGCTGGAATGAGAACCTGACATGGCACTGATAATTTTCTTCACATTCTGTCCACACATTAACTCAAGACTTGCTGCTGAAACTTTGGGATAAGCCAGTCTGTCAATTTTATCCGCATGATGTCTAGTATAGGCGAATAACTTGGAAAGTTTGTTATACTCGAGATTGAGTTTTTAAAAAACGGTGCCTTGTCTCAGTTTGTGATCATTTAGACGTAGATGCGTAGTTTCCTTCTGAAATTACTTCCAGCACACATATTCGTGATTTTCGATATTAATTACATTGGTTTCACATAAGCCTGAAACCAAATTGTACAATGTACGGTCAATGTCACGATAACGAAATTTAAAGTCCAGGCATAACAATCAATGGGAACATGAAATTAGAGTCATGCACCTTGACTTGGTTGCTGTGGAGGTCCGTGGTGAGCATGATGATGGAGTAAGCAAGCACGTATGCAGTGTCGGCACTAGCGAACAGGCCAGGCTGGCTGTAGCACTCGCAGTACCGAGAGGCAAATTTCTCCATGAGTCTGTCAATTTTCTGCGCCTCGCCAGGCAGCCGGAACCCTTCCAGGAATAGCCGTAACGCTGGAACAAACTCCCGGTCGCCGAAGTCTATCAGGTCAACGTATGCGCTCATCACCTGGAGTAGAAATAAACACAATATTAAATATTTAAAAGATTAAATTCCAGAACACTTGCACTAATCGGTTATTAAAAGTAAGGTCTTGAAAAATTTATTTCAACAGCGGTTCTGGTTCCTAAAAATTCACTTAGACATCCATCATTACAAACAATTATTGCAACTTTTGAATTGTATAATCACAATTAATTATTAGATAAGGTAAAATATATTAAAGATTATATGAAAAAAATTCGTTCCTTCACTTATCCTCGTCGCTCATGTAATTAGATTTTTTGACGAACTTCTAACATGGAGGAAGAAAACAACGTTTGAGGAACGAAAACAACGTTTTTCTTTTCTAACAACTTGGACTCGAAGAAATCAATTTCTATGAACTGTACAGCAAATTTTGCTGGCTCAAGTCCGTTCATTAAACAAGCGACATAAATGCAGCGCAATATACACGTAGTTAGAATTCGACTCCTAAGATTAATCGACATAAAAATTATTTATTAGGATTACACGTCTCTGCTGAATGCTTGGGATCTTGTTCATACATTATTGCTTAAATGTACAGTTATACCGTAACTAAGGCACGTTTCTGTTAAATGGATCAGATTAAACCTTGTTTACACATTGTTCGGCGAAACCTAGCAGTACATGTATTTTGATTAACGTACTCCTTCATTGAACGGGTCGGTTAGTACATTAATTACAAATTATTTAGTGAACTGTATCTTTATTTACGTACTTCTCTGTTGAACGGGTTGGGCTTCACCTCGTTTAAACATTGTTTGGTGAACTGTATCTTTATTTACGTACTTCTCTGTTGAACGGGTTGGGTTTCACATCGTTTGAACATTATTGGTGAACTGCATATTTATTTGCGTACTTCTCTGTTGAACGGGTCGGATTTCACATCGTTTAAATATTGCTTGGTGAACTGTATCTTTATTTACATACTTCTCTGTTGAACGGGTTGGGTTTCACATTAATTAGGTATTATTTAGTGAACTGCATCTTTATTTACGTACTTCTCTGTTGAAAGGGTCGGGGTCGCCGAGGTAGTCGCCCACTTGCGTCTTGTCGAGGCGGTCATCCTCATGGAAGAAGCGCGCCACGTCCACGGCCGTCGTGCCCAGCAGTCCGTGGGATTGTAAGAACGACAGCCCGTGAGCCGGCTTGCGCTTGAACCTGACCAACAATTAAGCATTATAAGAACAGTATGCTTTGAACAGTGAACACACTTACTTATAGTGTAGTATATATCGCTTGGATGCACTCATCGAATTCGATACTACAGCGAATCGGGTGCGGGTGCAGCGTTATGAAGTTACTTTTGTTTTTGTATGTTGATTTTCGAACATCATTTATAGAATATGGAAGCAACCTTCCAGTTAATTTGATACTATAACAAACGATCGATGATGAACTAAGATCCCGATTTGACTAAATTAAACGCTTCAACTCGAATTTGTGGATGAAGCACTTTACCAAGACTCTTTAATGAGGTTAACGTTTGACTTTGCATTTGGAAAAATTTCTATAGGTATATAATCAAATAGAAAATAAAATCAACTACTTGTTATAATGTAATTCCTGGTAGTGGTACAGGGTTCAGGGTGGTGAGGCAGAGCATATTTAGATGAATTATAGACCATATTTGCCCCGAGGATGGAGGAAAGAGAACAGCGAGCGTCCCACTGGTGAGTGGGACGTTAAGTTTAATTCTTAAGCTTACAGTGGCCACGTGGATTGCATATGTTATCCATACGGACGAGAATTAACGGCAACGAAAACGCGACCAATTTGGTTGGTTTATAGCACGCGACCACTGCAGAGTCTCGTCAGAAAAAGCGTATGCATTTTCCAACTCGAAAATAGCATTTTATCATATCATTCCCGTTTCCAACGTGTCCCAAATAGTTTATGATATTATTAAAATAGTAACTTAAAACAGTGCATACATCAATATTCCCTGCTCCCAAAGCTCCTTCTTTTGTTTGAGGCTCTGGAACTGCTCTGGGTTGTCCACTCCAATTCCTGACGAAGGCGCCGTAGCAGCAGCAACATCAGTTGCAGGGGCGGCGCCCCCAGTGTTCAAGGAGCCGTGGGAGCCGTGCCGCGCCATGGGCAGTCGAGGGGACGCCCGTCCTCCACTCAGGGCCTCGTCGGCGCCTCCGTCAGAACCGACTTTTTCTTGGCCTGCAAATTAGAAATCAAACCAAAATTTATTCACAAATGACTTTCTGAAATAAATTTGAAATGTATTACTTTAATTTAAATCAGATTGAAAAGTTAGTTGCGAACAAGTTTTGTCAAGATAAAATGTTTTCATGGTTAAAAAAACGATCGCATTGAAAGAAAAAAAAATCGTGCCAATGCGCAACTCCCAGATAATAACAGATCGGCTTGAATATCTCTATTTTATATTAAAGTCAGTGAATTAACTTGATCCCAAAAAGTGGTGAAGGGCTCAAATAATAAACTCGCTTCAGCCGGCAAGTCAGCAGCAGCAATAGCCTCTCTCAGAGACGAATGGCGGTCAAATGAAAGATGGGGAGCAACAGAAATGTTGAAGAATTAGATGACGTATGCCACTTCACTGAGGTTGGAGAGGGTGTTGGGGTTGATGTATGCCACTCACTGAGGTTGGAGAGAGTGTTGGGGTTGATGTATGCCACTCACTGAGGTTGGAGAGGGTGTTGGGGTTGATGTAGAGGTCTTTGGACCACTCGACCATGCACTTGAGCGTTGACACAAGACACTCGAGGCCCTTGAGTCGCATGCTCTGCTCCTGGCCTGCAGCACTCGTGCCGTACTCCCCGGGCTGTCCTCCCTGCGCTATCTTGCTCAGGTCGTTGATCAAACTGTAAATGTGGTAAACTATTAATTCAGTCACTGCCAAAATAATGAATAACTAACCTCAAAAACAATTTTGCTCCTGGATCAGTGCGAAATAAACTTTTGAGTTGAATACAGAAAATTATCTCCGTGAAAAAAAGTAAAATGCAACTACATGAATAAAAATGAATTCCAATTCAAAAATATTTCCTGCTTCACAGAGAAATGAACTTGCTTTTATTTCTCGCAATCAATGACAGGAAGCTGCTTCGATTAACACTTCTTTGGTAATAATACAAGGACCAATTCATGGCGATCAAGGAAGCAATTTTTCAGCAATCTACACAAAAGCAGAGTGCAAAAAAAATTTTCGTCACACTCACGAAAAATTTGGTTCAGCAGTTCTACGTAATGGTATCAGGATACATTTTCACTATAAACTTCTACCGCTACAAAATAACAGTTATCAATTAATATTAAACACTGCTGTTATCAGTGATACTCAGTCAACCTCGGTTAGTCTAAGAACTGCAACATTTTTAAAAATAACAAAGTCTAGAATTACTCAATGGTCTTACTGACGGTAACTCCTGCACTAATCTGAGTGAAGTGCTGGAAGCCTGCTTAATGGCTAGCTAAAATAATTGAATTAAATAACATTAAATTGTCACATTGAGTGATGTGTAAGTCTAGACACCCAATGTGATCCATGTCACTTAATGATAAAGAAAGCAGCTCTTTTACTCTAAGGCTGATATATTTTTGCTAATATTAGGCACTATGCGCACCGCTCAAAGATGTTAGCAGCACTGAGATCGCAGTCGTAATTAACGTAAATGTCGACGACGCTCTGAGCATCTGCACAGATCCTCGTCAGGGCCTGAATCACCATCCACTTGTGCTGGAAGCTCGAGCTGCCCGCCTCCAGGATGTTCAGGAAAATCTCCTTGAAGAACACCTACAAGGAAGAGAGGCACAAAAATTAGGCGCACGAGAAGTCAAGCTGAATTAAATGGGCAAACTCACATGTTATGGAATTAGTTAGCAAATTTGTTGTGATACAAGACATAGTTGGGTAATTCAATTCTCGTGAAGTGGAAACTAGAAAAATGATCACAGCAAATGAGATACTTCCAAATTTCACACGTACAAAGATAAATAGCATTCTGATACTTGATGCACATGGAATAGCAATATAAAATAAAGAATTAAATCCGTGCGACAATTAATTAGACACGCAAGTGCGAAACTTAAGGTAAAATTAAAAAAATACTGGCTTAGCTTCACTAAAGCACGCTGGAGTTTATTTGTCAACTACACTCTTCCATTTTGGATGATAAGCATTCAAATTAGGTAGGTATCAAGAATAAAATGATTACGTTTCAAGTTTAGTTTGAACAAGATTGAGAAAGTACTACAGAAAGGAGAGACTTCGAGAAAAAGCAATGCAACATGCTTCAGGTCGAATAAGAACATCAAAACATGCCCTAATTAGCGATTAATTATAGATGTGCTCTATTAATTCTAGCATCAGTACCTCAATTTGCATCTTGAGGTGCGCCTTGAAGTTGGACAGGAGCGCCACAAAAAGGGCGAGGCTGAGATGGAAGACCTCAGGTATTGGGGACACGCCGTTCTTGCTGAGGGCAACACAGAGGTACTGCTTCACCGCCGTGCTGAAGGTGTCGTGGCTGCGGAACACGGGACCTGCGTTCTGGACGATCGACAGCAGCATCTCCAGCGACAGGATCTTCGAGCGCAGTTCGTGGGATCTGGTTGCGTGAAAATAAATGAGCTTCAAGACCGTATTTCGGGAAATGATCGTTCAACAAGGTTGTTTAAAATACAAGAAAAATTGCGTTTATTTTGTCTACCATGTGTTCATTTTGTCTACCTCAGAGCCTTGCTTCACACAACTCACTTTGGATCAGGAGCTTCAGGTAAAGGTTTCATGGAGAGTTTGCAAAGTGATCTGAAGACCAAGAAAGCATCTTTCTGCAACACATGACTCAGCTTTCCCTCATTTTCGACTGCATTTACAGCTGCTAAACTCTCCTGCAAAAATAAATCTGTTAAAAATGTTTAAAATCCTTTACATAACGGAAAACACGCCAGCTACACGTGACTCCTTTTGACACCGTAATCATCCATTATGGTATTCATTTCGACTCCTGCTGACACTGTAAACATTCATTACGTTGAGTCGTAACATTCACTTGTTATTTCACCTCTAGAGTACCTGAGAGGGTATCCGAGTGACGGTCGCAGAACTAGAAGGCGTCTCGACAGGCTTGGCTTCTCTGTCACCGACGTCAGGGCTTCTGGCAGCAGCGTTCTCAGCAGCTGCAGGTAATGCCCTTACGTCGTTGTCGGCACATGAGCGGGCGTCAGTGGCTGCCAAGAGAGAGCCATGTACATGAAACTAAAATCTCAGGAAAATTCCCCATTAAAATTGCTGAGACAAACAAGCAACTAAAACGAGCTTTTTCTAAAACTGAAGAAAACCGAGTGATTGTTTATGAACAGGTGATTGTTTATACCAAGCTTGGATGATAGATATACATGGAATATATGATTATATATAGTACCAAATATATTTAAACTTGATTTTCGTACAGTACACGTATGTTTTATTCACAGATTATTTCCGTAACTAACCAAAGGTTAGCATATTATTGAAGCCTCAACTTGATCATAAAAGACGGGAGTGGCTCAAATGAAGGAATAAAGATGTGATGTATGCATTGGTATGTCTCAAATAAACGCACATGTAAGTCAGCAGTCATATTACAAGCAATTTGTAGTAAGCCAGATCAATAAGGAATTTATTACCAGCGCAAACGTTCTCGAGAATCTCGCCCATCACCACAGCAGCGACGGCTTCAGGAGATTCGTCAGCGTCTGTGCTGATGTCAGGGCTTTGTGACGAGTCAGTGGGGGCAGCACCAGGAGGAGGTTCACTGCTCTTGAACATTTCTTCAGCCGGCACTGCCTTTACAAAACAGACATAATTTATGTTAGACGAACTTTAAATAGATGCGTGCGAACATGTGTATATATAGAGGGTTATAGTTATAATAACACATACATGGACCTCGTGTGAGATACAATTAAATACTTGATTGGCAGACGACTTTATTTTTATTTAGTTACTTTTTGTGACGAATGCCATAGTACGGTACAACTAAGAGATCAGTGGAGATTCTATAGCATCAGTGTAACAGAGCAATCTTTGGAGTATAGCAAGTAGGAAATATGAGAGCGCAGCACTAGTAGTGTACAGAGCAGCACTAGTACCGTACTGTGCAGCACTAGTACCGTACACAGGGCAGCACTAGTACCGTACTGTGCAGCACTAGTACCGTACACAGGGCAGCTCTAATAGTTACAGATGGCACTAATAGCACACTAACCACCTGATCGGCAGCATCGAGGAGCGCGATGTCGGTGACGCTGGCGCCGTCCCCTTCAGTCCTGGTGTCGGGGCAGCCCTCCCCGCCCTCGCCCTCCTCCCGTGCTGGCAACACGTCTACGCCGCCTTTGTTGTCCTCGTTAACATCAGGGCTGCTCTTCTGTGGCGCAGCCTTCATTTCAAGACACGAAGCTTGCTTTTCAGGACTGCTTTTGATCAAATTATTATCCGGGGATGAGCTTTCTTCTTCAGGTCTACTATTTTCCAGTTTACCTCTACTATTCAACAAGTCTGGAGATGCGCTAATTTCGTCAGGTGTGCTGACCGAGTGTCTTTTGATTTCAGGTTCGTGTTGTTGCTCATTTGCAGCTGACAGTTTGCTTTGCAAAGTGTCCTTAGCGGGGGACACTATTATGCTGCTGTCAACGGGACCTCCAAGTGGTCTTGTATCTGCACAAAGAAGTATGAAAATTTAGCAACTCTTCTTTGGATTTCAAACATTATGAATTCATAACAAGTTCCAGGTAAGGAAAATTCTTGACAACTATAAATTGAACAAGTTGGTAGAACGTAAACATCGAAATAAATTCAAGTGTGCAAGGATAAGTGTGTTACTTATCATCCAGTGTAAAAGCAAACTAAAGAAAACAATTTCATTTGGGGCCATTGAATCAGAATCATAATGAGGAGAATCAAGAAGACAACATGCCTAAATATTGTAGAAGTGGTCACCTTGGGGTAGGTTATTACACATGTCAGCAGTGCTGGGCTGTTCACTGGAGCATGCAGTCTTGGCACAGCAACTGGCATTGCTCTGCGTCTGCTCCCGAAATTCTTCACTTGCTTCTTCAGCCTGAAGAGCGAAGTACGAGTGGTTAATAAAACTTTCATGAACAGAATTTGGCTTCCAACATAAGCATTAGAATAACTTCAATGCTATTTCTTAGAAGAGGACTAATTTTAATATTAGCGATTTACAGTAATAATTTTCAAAAGTACAGTACACAATTTAAAGTTTAATACATTTGAACACCACTTCTATGGTTCCTATTTATAATCCATATCTTTAAACATTTGCCTGTGCAGATAAAACCCATTTGAGAAACAACACAATTGCATTCATGCTGGACATACAGCCTGAGCCTCCATCCTGGCAAAGATAATGTTGATCATCTGCGTGAGGGCGGCCTTGGCAGTGACTTGGTTGGTGAGGTCCCTTGATGCAAGGTGGATGCTGTAGCACGTGCGCACTGCTACCAAGACTGTCCCCGCGTGCACACTTACATACTGCGAGGTCAGCACTGTCAGCACCGCCTGAACAGTTAACACAATATAATGTGGATGAACGAACACACAACTGTCTTTTGCACATTATTTAGAAACTATGAGCATGCATCTGTAAATATACAGCCCGACTATCAATGCAGGACAATACTATACTAAAGGAGACTACATATACAGAATTTAGATACTATAAAAGCACAAAGAAGAAAGACAACAAGATATTTTTTAATGCAAGGATGGGTAAGCAAGTACAGAGTCCGCCATATTTATGGCAACGAATGTTTTTTGCTATTTCTCAATGAAACAAACAGGTGCATTGTTTTTTATTGGATAAGCTAGTAGCCCAGAATTACCTAAACAATTCTCAGGCATATTTATGCAATATGACCATCCTTATTTTTAGTGACGGCCTCCAATCTACGAGGGAAAGCTTCACAGGAGACACCGTGCATTTCTTGAGGGATCAAGTCCCATTCTCGTGTCAATTTAGACTTCAAACTATCCAAAGAATCATGAGGTGTTCTGCAGACCCTACTCTCTAAAATAGCCCACACAGAAAAGTCGAGAGGATTCAAATCAGGGCTTCTTGAGGGCCATTCATTTTTGCTAATGAATGCTGGGATGTGACCCTGAATCTAGTTTTGGGTCATGTTTGAGCCATGTGATGGGGCAGAGTCTTGTTGAAAATCCATGGTGAGCCGCTGAAGTGTTTACGGGCCCCAGGTAACAGCACAGCTTCTAAAATGTATCGCTGACTGTTCAATTTCAATCCTGAGGTGACAAAAACGAGTGGACCTCCCAGTGGCGATTACCGCGGCCCAAACCATCACGGACATGGGATTTTGACGTCGTGTTGCTGTTATGGTTGCCACAGATCCATCCCAACTCCAAACTCTGTCATTTTGACGGTTAACTCTTTGTTCAATGTCAAATTTTTTCTTGTCACTGAACACCAAGTTGGGCAGCATGCCATTCTCAATGAGATCCAGAATGTGCTGGCATCTTTCGAGCCACGACGGTCTGTTAGTTCATGCCTTGTTTGCATCTTTTAATGGGATGTTTTGAGGTCATCTTTGAGGACTCTACGCATTGATGTCTGACTGACTCCTGCTTCTGCAGCCAATTTTGCAGCTGAGTGAGAGTTTTTCCTCATCTTCTACCTCGTGCTTTTGACCAATTGTTTTGTTCAGAAATTTCGTTTCCTTCCTTGACAGGTCAATTGCACGTTTCACCAGTTTTCTTGAATTTTTTTACCACCTTCCACACAGTTTCACGATGAATTTGGAGCTTTTTTGCAATGACTGAATTATTACTCTTGCCTTTTTCATGAAGGGTTACAATTGCATTTCTATCTACTGCCACAAGTAATAGTAAATTTAGACACCTTAGACTTCTGCAATATAAAATAGATGAATTTAAAGATGATATTAAGCTTCATTTTAAAAGAAAAGTCTCCTAGAAACCAATTTATTTTATATAGCAAACATCCATTGTCATAAATATGGTGGACCCTGTATGTCATATATATATACCATAAAAATGTAATAGTAAAGAAACTCACAAGGTACTCGTGTAAAAGGAAAAAAATTTAATTCAGTGTTCAGTTTTCAAAACGTAGGATCTCTATGAAAAATAAAAAAAAAGTAAACATATACCAAAAAATAATATTACCTTGATAATTTGAATTTCTACATCCTTGTCAGTGTTGGGCCCTAGGAAGCAGTTGCATATAGTCTCTACTATGTGGTCAATGAGGCGTTTATTTGGATCGTTTTGGTCAGGACAATTCCCAGTCAAATGGCCGTAGGCTATGAGTTTCTGCAAGACAAAGTCATGAACTACTACAAAATTAATGGAAGAGAACAATATGACATTAACATATAATAAAAAGAAATACATAATTCATGACAATACAGTATTATGAGAAATCAATGTTTGATAGGAGCATTTTAATGTCATCTAGGATAAATCCTGTAAGAAATGACACAAATATGGAGTATAAAATAATTTTACAATTTTCTACACTAACTTATGTAACAATTATTAATCAAAGCCTTATAGTAATTTCATATAAAATAAATATAATGAATCAAGATCAAAGCAAGTCAACCATGTGATGTTGATACATTTTGACTGAAACAAGTTTTGAGTGTTTAATGAAATAGCAACAAAAAGCTAAGATATATGCACCTGGATGCAGTCTAGGGCAGTAACAACCATCCGGGGGCTTTTGGACTGACATGCCAGCTCAAATGGCAAGAAGTATTTCTCAACATCAAACGCAGGAGCATCAGAACGTGGAAGTGGGAGAGCTGAGCTACCAGCTCCTGAAATGGAAACATCACTCCCCAGGGCCTTCTTGACATCCTCTGCATGTTGAGAACATTCAAGTGTTACAGTTGTAGTTAGGAGTCACATATTGACTTGAAAATTATTAACTAAGATGCTATCAATTTTAAATGAACTTTCATCTCATAAATTTATATTCTAAATGAGTGAAAGAAAGTGATTTTTAACCTGGAATTTGTAAAAAGCGTACAATGGCCTGTAACTTACCTAGCTAATGTTCAAAGCCAACAATGGGCATGACTTACATGCATATACATTATGTTCAGAGCTGACAATGTACAGTAACTCACCTAATGTTTGTTCAACAGCTTTCACTAGCTGAGAATGATGGGATTTCCTTATTTCCCTCTCCGACTGTAGCTTCTCCAGAGCACGAACAACAAACATCCTCCCAGATGCAGGCGACCTCATAACATAATGGCAATTCTGTAAATTAATAAATACATATTAATCTAGATGCAATGTGAGAGCAGGTAGCTTTTCAATAATGATTCTTCAACCTGCTCAGAATTTAATCGATTGTTACAGCTGGATTGCTAATATCACATCCTCAATGCAAAATATTGTGGACTGCAGAGATGTGGACTCTCTTCCTCATGATCACATACCTGAATTCAAAGACTACCATCAAACAGGGTAATAAGGGATGCTTTTTCGCTTGTTTTTTGTTGATAACTTCTTACTATGAAACATTTCATAAAGTTTGGGCTCATTTTAAAGGTCTTTGCATGGGCTATTGAATTGACATTCCCCAAAAATTGTGAATACTGGTATTATTCATAAAGTGCCAGAAGCAAAAAAGTGTCCCAAATTACCCCTGGGAAGGGGGTAATATGGGACACTTGAAATAAAACTTAATTTAAAAACGTTTCAAGCATGCAGAGTGTACTCATTCATTATTAACAGTACCTACTCCAAAGTACCTACTAACAGCACCTACATCCATTACTAACAGTAAGGCATGGTGTCAAACCACAGATTTTTTAGAATCAGTTCATTTTTAATCTCCTCATCTACTTACAATTTTAAATCAATATATTAAGTATGAAAATGTTGGTATCCATGATACTTCACTAGTCTTCTCAAAAGATCTTATAGGACTCAAAAATGAACTAGAGAATCAGTCTAAAAAAAGTCTCTGCTTTGACACTATATGAGTCAGTATCTACTCCAAATGAAGAAGAGGACTCTTCATTTGTAGTTTTGTAGATGACGTAGATGTAGAATAAATGATATTTTCTGTGACTTGTACTTGTTTTTCCTTTTATTGATAATATTATCTTATCCATTTTTCATTAACAAAAACTATTTTTTCTATTCTGTACCTAACCTTATAACCCCCCCCCCCCCAATACAAAATAAAAAAAACTTCTGTGCCATTGACAACACTCTTTTTTACTGCAAGCTTCACATCAGCAGCCGTATAGCATTTCCTCCATTAGCTTACAGGACTGGGACTGTGCCGACTCTTCAAACTTGGGTTAATGCATTACTTAGAAATCTAGTCAACTACAACTGCAATACAACACAGATATACATTTCTGTGGGAAGCACATTCATGTTCAAACTATTCTAGGAGCTTGGTGCGTGGCACATTTTTTTACTAGCGCAGTGGTATTACCTACTTTAGATTAAGTGCATCCAATAAAAAGGGTGTTTTCCTTTTAATTATATATTTTTTGGGGTATAGATTATCTGAAATCTGTTTTGGGCAGTACCGATTTTTTATATACTTTCTATAGAAAACAATGGGGGACCCATGGGGAACCAGGGGTTTTGAGGGAGGGGGACACGCCCAAGGCTCTAATTTGTCAAAAAAAAAAAAAAAAAAAATTGGCAAACTTGGCGAAAAGTTGGAAAAAAATCGGAAAATATTTTTTGACTGGAAATGATCTATATTGATCTGGGAATGACTGTAAACCTATGTAAAACCCAAAAATCGCGCTAGGTTAGGTTAGGTTAGGTAATATATAAAAAATTGGATCACCTAATCTAAAGTAATACCAGCACAGTATTATAATGCATTTATTTACTGGCATAGTAATTTTCACTGTTCCCTTTACCACGTTTTACTGATCTCCCACAGAGTCCTCCACATTCTAGAAGTGGGCTACGGCCCTAAGATATGAGACAAGTGTTCAATCAGTGTTCTGTTAGAGTGACAGTGGTTTCCTAACGTTATAGTATTCGTTTTGCCTAGCTAGTGTTTGGGAGCGTGGCGAGTGTTATAGGCCCGCTGATAATAGCTGGCAAGGGTGGAAAGACCTGGCCCGTGTTAGCTGAAGCTGCCACACTCGTCGACGTCATTCTTACGTCACTGCTGCGCTGACTGACCAGTACTCCACTGTTTCCTTCTGATTGGCTAAACTCTTCCTACCATAAACTTGAGGTTTCATAGAAGGGGAAAACCTAGCTATTACGTGAAGGAAGTGGTTGACCTTATCGCCTCAGGGCTGCTACATTGCCTCAATTTCCTCAAGCCTGTCATCTGAATAAGACTCCTGCTGCCCAAGCGTGTTAAGTGCCTGTTTCTTTTTCGGACCTAACCTGGAATACAACGGGAGACGCTGTCACGACATCGCATGTGCCCCGATTTTTTCTTCTTTTGGGCGCAAACGACAACTTTGTAACCTGCCATTGTTATACCCAAGCTCGGCGCTTAGTTCTTCTCATATTTGTATAGATACGTGCAATTTATTCAACGTGTACCTGCTATTTTAATCTGATTGTGTAATGTGTAAATCTAGGTTTAGGCGAGGCTGTGATTAGAATTATACTTTGTTTTTTACATGTTTATGTATCTTTTTAGGCTTCTTATGGCTCTGTAAACAATAGGTTTCTATATAAACGTCTTCTTATTTCTATAGAAACGTCTTTATATTTTAGGAGTGGCAGATGATGTGTTTCTAGATTTTCTGATGATAGGATTATATACAATCGTCTTATTTTTATTGAAGCGTCTGTATATTTTAAATGTGACATACTAATAATTGCAGCTCAGATGAGCGCAATCACCCATTGCACTTAGTCTTACTACCTCTTTTCTAAGTGTCTCGTGTATGTTTAGCTAGGACGTGTACTGTTGTCTGTATTGCTGCTGTATTGGGAACTTGGGAAGTACTGAATCTTGTGTGAATTGAAGTGTGAATCAGAATATACTTGACTGGACTGTTGGAAGGATGGGAAAACAGACCAGGCAAACTAGCGCAAGAAAGCGGGATGGAGGTGGAGATGAGGTGCCAGTGGACCAGGTGGAGTGTTGTCGCTGCAAGAGTTGGTTTTCCAAGCAGCAACTTGGGATTGAAAGCTGGTCAAATGAAGATATTAGGATATCATACGTTATCTGTAGAGAGTGTATTGTAGCCTTAAGGGACGAAAATGGTCGACTGAAGAAAAGGAACGAAGAACTAGAAGAGATTGTTGCACGAGCTAGCAGGGCGAGGGCTGGAAATCTCTCCTGCCATGCTTGTAGAGCCAGTGGAAATACTGATGAGGGAGGGGTGGGAAAGGGCGAGGATAAAGCTGTAGAGACTGAAGTGAGTGTGTCCGAGTCGGTGCACGGCAGGACAAGCTCGCATGTTCATGGTGGGGATGGTGTGGATGAAAGAAGTGGGAGGATGAAATGTGACAGAACTAAGGTATGTCAGAAAAAGATAGTTAAACACCCAATTGTTATGGTGGGGGACAGTGGAATGTCGGCACTTGCGGGACAAATTAGCGTGAATGAAATAGGCAGTGAAATTGTATCCTTAGGAAGAGCAAACGTTTTCGACATACGGAAGCACTCAAAACTCAAAATTGAAAATTATAGTCGCGGGCTCTTTGTCTTACATGGTGGGGGAAATGGGCTTAAAGAATAGGTGTGGAAAAAACCGTCCAGGAAATTACTAGTTGCGTGAGGGAGGTGCATGAAAAAAATATGTCTGTGGCAGTAATCGGTATTTTGAGACGACCTAGAGAGGATAATACTTACGAGAGAATGAGAAGAGATGTAAATATGAAAGTGTTTAAGAATCTGATGGAATTCAAAATCGAATGCTTGAAAATGGGTGAAAGAAATGTCAGCTTTCTTGATCCTGACTGTATTACAGAGAACATGTTTGGAATGGACGGAATGCACCTCAATCCTGAGGGGACGGAGGTGCTTGGGCGAAAAGTGAAACGGTGGGTGCAAGAAAATTGTGTGGAAGTGGTACATACGGAATGACAGAAAAAGAGTGTGAATGTGACTAGACCAAACAATACGAAAATGGTGCAAGTGGGACTGATAAATATCAGAGGCTTGGGTCTTGGAAAATATGAAGATCTGTGTAAAGAGTTGGAAGCACATCAGATGGATATAGTAGGTGTAACTGAAACTCAAATGAGAGAGAATGGATGTCTGAGAAGCGGGAAGTATGAGATGTTCTATAAGGGAAGGAAAAAGCAACAAACAAAGGGTGGGGGAGTTGGAGTTATTGTACGTATGGAGGCCGGGTATGACGTGGAGGAAATAAGTGTTGGTGAAAGCGAGATGAGCGAGGATATACTTGCTGTAAAGGTCGAGTATGCAACAACTAAGAATGAAAGAATGCAAATGGTGATGATCGTATGTTATATGACTGTGGAGGGAGTAAGGTCTGAGCGTGAGAACAGGGAAAAGTATGCCTGTATAAAGAAAGTGCTTGATGAATACAGCCATGAGATGATAGTAGTTATGGGGGACATGAATGGACATGTTGGTGTACTAGGAGAGCCTGTGAACAAAAATGGGGAGCTTCTGAATGAGTTTGTGTTTGAANACGGACTGGGTGAGGAGCAGGAGAGGCGTACGACAAGGCTGTATCCTGTCTCCGCTTCTCTTCAACCTCTACACAGAAGAGATGGCCACGAGGGTGAGGAGAATGGATGTTGGTGTGCGTGTAGGCGGCGAAAGGTTAAGAATGCTTCTGTATGCTGATGACGCTGTGATTATGAGTGAAAATAGCGAGGAACTGCAAAGTATGCTGGACTGTGTGACTGAGTATGGGAGGGACTTTAATGTGCGATTCAGTGCGGAGAAGAGCCAAGTACTTGTTGTGAATGGATCGATTGAGGATATGAGCAGAGTGTGGATGTTGGGAGGGAATGAAATTGTTAGGACAAATGAGTATAAGTACTTAGGGATGTGTGTGGACCATGAAGGATGTCAGAGAACAATGGCTGTGAATTTAAGTAAGGCGAACCAATGGCTGGGTATACTTGGAAGTGCAGCAAGAGTGAGAGCGAGTAAGTATGAAGTATTGAGAGAAGTGTGGAAGAGTGTAGCAGTGCCTAGCATTATGTATGGACTGGATGTGATAGCATATAGTGATGGCGAGCTAGATAAATTGGAATTGGTACAAAATAGAGTGGCAAGATTGGCACTAGGAGCCCCCAGGTGGACTGCAGTAGAGGCCCTGAGAGGAGACATGGGTTGGAGTACCTTCAAGGAAAGAAGAATGAGAGCAGTTTTGAGGTATAAAGTGAGACTGGAGCGAATGGATGATGAACGTTGGGCTCGAAAGATGTATATGTGGAACATGAAGGTGAGCAAATAGGCACGCAGATGTCGGGCAGTGGTGCGTAAGTGTGGCATGCATGAAGCATGGGTGCGCCAAAGGCCCGCTGGGCCAAAGGACGAATGGGTGGTGACAGTACAGGGTGCGATTGGGATAGAGTGGGATGAAAAAGAGTCGAAAAGAGAAATAAATGAGCGAGTGAAAGACTATGGGCTGAAGGTATGGAAGCAAGGAATGGAGGGAAAGGACTCTCTAAGACTGTATCAGATGAAAGCGATGCCAAAATATGAATGTATGTATGATGGTAGTAGAGGTGGGGACCTTCTGTTTTGTGTTAGGGCAGGCGCGCTAGGTGTGAAAGGACGTACATACAGGTGGAATGAAAGGAGAGAAGATAAATGTTTTATGTGTGATGGGGATGAGAAGGAAACTGTAAAGCACTTGTTGATGGAATGTGGGGCGTATGAGAGAGAGCGTCAGTCTATGATTTAAGTGATTCTGAATGAGAGAGGTGAGACTAATGAGGTGGGGCATGAGAGAACAAGCGAAGAGTGGATGGCGATAATTACGGGTCTGTCTGAGGGAGCAACTGCAGTCTGCAGCTATGTTTGAGAGTGTGAAGAGATATTTGGAAAACGTGTGGAGGATGAGGGAGAGGAGGAGGATGATAAGAGTGGAGTCTTGAGGAATGGAGGGTTGAGAGAGGGGAGGGTGGGAAGACGAGTGAACGTGCCGAATTGTTTCAGTACGTGGTTTTAATTTTTTGCGATTGTCAAATTTTTATATTTTTTCTTAGGACAGCTGTGAATATGGTATATTTTTTCTTAGGACAGCTGTGAATATGGTATATTTGAACTTTTTTGTTAACATAAGAGTGTGAACTTTTAATTTTTTTTTATGCTAGTAAAAGTTTTTTAGGCAGCGTGTATGACCGATTTAAAGGTCATGACCGTAGGTCACCACGCACCCCAATTCCAATTCCAATGATAATACTGATGTGCAGGATTGTAAGTTTCCTACTTGCTACTTGTTTCTGAAATCTTGTGGCTCCGCTCAATCAACAATCATGACAAATTTTTAATACCTACATTTGGAATCTTGTGGCCTGATCATGCACTTTTGTTAACATTCTTAACAATTAAATAGAAGGTGATTCATCTGGGTGTCATCTCGCAGTTCCGGAAATTATGGGAAAGCTTTAGTCACGGCCCTAAATAAATAGATGTTTTCCACTCTTGCTGGCGTAGTTTGACAATGATGGCATGATTGGCAATGGCATCCATGATACTTCAATGGTCTACTTTTAGGACTCAAAATGAACTTGAGAAAGAGCCTAAAAAGTCTCTGCTCTGACACTATGAGTCTATGATTAGTAGAGTAGATAGAATTTTTAATTTTACACACAGACATACCTAACACAAACAGGCTAATACTAACTGAAACACTTGATTTAGACTTTAGTTAGTTAACACGGTAATCTATTTACTTACAGGTTACAGCAGTACAAATAAGCTTTGTGAACTTTGCCATCACAGTCGTTTCATCATGTTCCGTAATAGCGTTCGCGTCAACTACCAACTAACTTTCATCTTAGCGTTAAATTTATTAATTTATACTGTTTACAAATTCAGTTGACAAGACTATGACGTCAAGTGTCAACACTACATTGACAAGAGTTTACTCCAAGATACGCAGAATTTCTGGTAATACTCTTTCAATATTAGATTGAAACAGAGGTAAACGATTTGTATGAGGAGTTTACATTAGTTTTGGGGAACTTACTTGTAATTAAAAAAGTAAAGATAAAATTGTTGATGACGTGTTCGGCTAAAACAGCTGATCTCTATTGTTGTATACTCAGCGACATCTTGCGCCCAATACTATCACTAAGTATATGCAGGATTCTGTTGTAACTTTTGGACGAAGCCAGAAAGTATGTTTCTAAATTCAAGTTGCACGATTTAGTTTTCACCTAAAAATTGCTCTGACAAAAAATACGAAGGCAAATTTCACCAGCAATCGTAGAATGATACGAGTCATTTTTCCTTAAAGATCAATGTGATTTTAATTTGGGAATGTCGTCATCGTGATAGTGAAAAAGTCGCATTATAGTTACTTCGTTTTACAATAGGCAATGAAAAAATCGCACGGACACACTCTCCCTGCTCACTCTATTAGAGTATACAGAAAACACTTGCACTCATACATTACTTGATATTTGCAAGGTATCAGAAAATTTGGACTTTAGTGAAAAAAACTAGTAAAGTTGTGGAATTACAAAAGAAGCGATATGCCAATATATAATATATTTCCAAGTATTTCTTACCGTGCGAAACTTAAGGGTAGTTTGCAAGATTTTTTTGCCCTGTTATTAATTGCATGGCACTAATTTTTGTGTTGCAACGAAGATCCGCGAAAAAATTTTCTGCTGTGAAATTTATTGTAAACTTGTACGTGGTAGAAGTGTTTGTCGTTGTTAAAGTATATGAAAAACCCTCACTTGACTAGTAACAACCTCAGTTTGTAACAAACTTCCAAGCAATCATCACCATAACTATTGCTAAAGGTCCTAATCTCTTACATATTTTGGTGTAGGAGTTTTTGAGTTGGCTTCTTTAGAGCTTGGCACTGAAAATATATACATTAAATTTAATGTATTTCGTGAATAAATACAATATATAACCATTATTCACAATACCCATCGTGTCGGGGTATTACCTGGAGGTTAAAATTTATAAATTAATTATTAAATCATGTGGTTATACACATGTGGGAACGAATATTTTTACTTAAAAATGATTTCTTCATTTGTATACATCTGATTCATTTTAAAAACTGAACAATCTAATTTTCCTCCAGTTTTCACTAAAGGATTTAGAGAAGTTCTGTGTTTTCTGCATGTGAGGAAAGGCATAATGGAATTGAACTACGTACATTATTTAAAATTATCAACGCAATTTGGGTTGGCAGATCTGAAATGCCAGGATAGAAGCCAACGCGTTTCGGTATGAGGGAAATCCTAAATAAGTGCATTCTATAGAGGTAAAATCCCAGCTATTTTGCTAGCCTTGTCATTATGAAAGTTTGAGATTTTTTTCCTTTGCTTTTCAGAAGCTGGATATATAAATATATGGAGATATTTGTGAGCGCGCCCATAATACCTATTATGCGCATTGTTTTCCAAGTCGGAAATCCAACTTTTAGTGATGGTGGCGCCATCGCAAATAGTCAGTAGACTTTAAAAGTTTATGCTTAATTCAATTATAAAATTACTAAAGTTAGTATTGAAGAAAGAGTGATAGAAAATAAATTTTAATAGAAATAGTATTATGCAACAATAAACTGATGTTCTTTGTTAAATGACGTACATGATAATCGTATTTAGGTCCTTAGAATGCTTGTAAATCGGATCCCATTTCAGTACTATCAGTTTCGGTGCAGAAAGGCACGACATGTGAGCATCTTATGTAAGATGCATCAGTCCTGAAACTGAGTTTATTTCCCCGTGTTCTTATGGTGATTTGTTGTGATTTTTGCTGGCAGAGGAGTCTCCATCGCCTGGGCAACAGCTGGGACACGCTGGGGCAGGCTGGGATGGCGTGTCATCTCGACACATTTGCTGCAAACGAGCGAAAGATGAGGCTTGCGCCTGGGACTGGAGACCGCCGCACAAGGGGGGCTGTTGGAGCTTAGCTTACTTCAAACGCGCATTCGTTTCTACAGCGCACCGGTATATGATTTATATTCATCATTTACGAAGCACACGGTAGGTGGTATCGGCCATACACTAAAGCTGTTGTATTCAAACAGAAAGGCTGCGTCTAACGGTATTTTTACAGCAATTTACGACCTTTTTGTGGAACTTCCATATCCAATTTACCTTATGCACGACAGTAATATTTTTACTGTCATTTCACGGAGGTTGACAAATTGACGCTCCAGAAGGAACGTCCACCAAAACAATCGACTACCACAACAAACTGCATTTAAGCGGACAAAATTACTCAAAATTCGCAAATTTTCATTGAAGCTACGACAAAATTGAAGAAAAACTAGTCTGCTGGAGATGAGAACAACTCGAAACATACATCACATAATAGGGTTAGAATTACATACAATTCATCCGCAGCAGACACTTACTTGTCGTCATCAGAGGCACGTAGCCTTGCAGGGACGAAATAATTGCATCAGCAACAAGGCGAAGGAATTTCGCTTTAAAAAATAAGTAAAATTTATTCATTATGTCAGAGACTCCATAATAGAGCAAGCAATAATATTTTGACTTAACACTTGCAGGGAAATGGTCTGATGTAACGCAAAGACACAAGTGGGGTAATGGTTTCCCGGAAGAATGCCATTCATCAGTTGACTCGATGTGTTGAAGCTCATAGTCTCATTACATCATCATAACATCATTCATTCCCAGTGCAGACATTACCAGTCAACACCGTGATTCCACAGATACCATGAAGAATGCCTGAGCACGTACTATGCGTGCACGCATCATTCCCAAAGGCACGTAACGCTCCTTGATCGCCTTTGATGCTTCCAACGAACAAACTCATTGCAATTACTGACGCAACAAAGATGTTGCTTTTTACATGCCCTTATCTTGGTATCTTGCGTTGCGTTGCACGTAAATCTCAATGAAGCTCATGGAGCTGTCCAGAGCGTCAGTTAAAGGTTCATTACTGTCACCAGGGCTCCAGTATATTAGAGACTCTTCCTATATTCATTTGAACTCAGAGGCGCGGGCGAGCTCTTTGTTGCGAGAGTGATGGCTATGTGGACGTGTTTTTGAGCTTATAGTGCCTGTGTACGCCTTAAAATATTCACCTCGAATATTGAACTTGGCCAGGTCCATGGTTAGTCGAGTTTTGACGCGACGGTAAACTACTTTCATTCAAATTTGGAGGGAAATATATTTAAAAAGAAAATTTGAACATACTGTTCCGAATTATTTGAATTTAGTTGAGAAGTGTTAGCAAATATTGAACAGCGGCATATGCCATTGGAATGGGAGCTAGTCAAATGTTGGTTTTAAAAACCGTATACTTTTTACTCAGCAGGCTGCTAATTTTAAGTCATAACCAGACTGTGGACTTGACATACGTACATGTATGAATAAAAGTTCATTAATGGGTAATAATTTGAGAATTTTTTATCTCTATTATTTACGTAATTTTAATCACACATTTTAAAATTCAAATACTGTATTCAATCTTGTGGACTTATTGATTTTCATCTCAGTCAATCGGGATTTAAGTAACATTGCGTTACCGAGTAAGAACTTTGAGTAACTTTCAAATAGTCGCCATTTAAATTTCCGAGTAGTTTCCCCAGTTTTTTTACTAGTCACAAATGAAATTTACCTGAGAGTAACGTCTGGTAGTCATCCCGGATACCTTCACGGGAGTCACTGGAGTAACCTTTGAGTCGGAACGACCAGTCACTGCAGATTAATTGCCTTGCAAATATATGTGAGTAATAACCGGCCGGTCTACATCGAGCTGTTCCGAGAGATTATATGATGGTATGAGGGGTTATGGGGGCCATGACCCGTGCCAGGTGACGAGGGTCCCAAGGGGTTAGGGGACCATGCCCGCGCCAAGGGACGAGGGTCCCATGGGGTTATGGGGGCCATGACCCGCGCCAGGTGACGAGGGCCCCATGGGGTTATGGGGCCATGACCCGCGCCAGGTGACGAGGGTCCCATGGGGTTATGGGGGCCATGACCCGCGCCAGGTGACGAGGGCCCCATGGCGTTATGGGGCCATGACCCGCGCCAGGTGACGAGGGTCCCATGGGGTTATGGGGGCCATGACCCGTGCCAGGTGACGAGGGTCCCAGGGGGTTTCAGGGACCAGGTGTGTTGCACCTGATTTGCAGGTGCGCGGCGGCAGGTCATTATGCAGGTCGGGATTGCCTCGCCTGCTCTTATTAGCGTCGCGTTTGCGCTCGCCAATCGCAGCCAATCGATGATTGCGCAACACGCGATTAGTGCGAGGCACGTGCGTGAGCCGGTGTGGTGCGTGAGCCGGTGTGGTGCGTGAGCCGGTGTGGTGCGTGAGCCGGTGTGGTGCGTGAGCCGGTGTGGTGCGTGAGCCGGTGTGGTGCGCGAGCCGGTGTGGTGCGTGAGCCGGTGTGGTGCGTGAGCCGGTGTGGTGCGTGAGCCGGTATGAGCCGGTGTGGTGCGTGAGCCGGTGTGATGCGTGAGCCGGTGTGGTGCGTGAGCCGGTGTGGTGCGTGAGCCGGTGAGGTGCGTGAGCCGGTGTGGTGCGTGAGGCGGTGTGGTGCGTGAGCCGGTGTGGTGCGCGAAGTCAATGAGTGTCCGCAAGTTGCAGTGAGTTTGCAACTACAATTAATGAATAGGCGAGTGAATATTCTTATTATTGATAATTAATGACGAATGTTAGTGCACAATTTATGATTATTACAGCGATTAAAAAACACACCTCATAAACATAATATAAATTTGCTTCAACTTTTCAACCCATCAAGGGTTCAACAGTCCCCCTAACCCCTCACCTGTTGATCCCCCCTCCGACCCCCCAAAGTTCCCCAAAGTTCCCCCCGGTGTCGGCCGCAATTTTCTCGTCAATTTTGCATCAGGAACGTAACTGCTGTTACATGGAGCGTGACCAATAGGCGTGCACGACGCTAATGACGTCATAACGAAGCGTGACCAATCACAGGATCAATATGCTTCTAAACGACTAAAGCTGTCCTAGCATCCTGCGCTCCTTGGGACGGTGGTGAGCGA